ACAGCTCACCTGAGTGAAACAGCTCACCTGAGTGAAACAGCTCAGAGAAACAGCTCACCTGGATGAAACAGCTCACCTGAGTGAAACAGCTCACCTTAGTGAAACAGCTCAGAGAAACAGCTCACCTGGATGAAACAGCTCACCTGAGTGAAACAACTGCTCACCTGAGTGAAACAGCTCAGAGAAACAGCTCACCTGGATGAAACAGCTCACCTGAGTGAAACAACTGCTCACCTGAGTGAAACAACTTACCTGAGTGAATGAACAGCCCACCTGAGTGAAACAGTTCACCTGAGAACGTGTTGTAAAACATAGATTGGCTCAAACTTGAGGAACACACGAGGGTGAGAATTCCCAGGGAACACACGAGGGTGAGAATTCCCAGGGAACCAAAGGCTCGATTTGCCAGGGGATAAAACATCAATGCAAAAAATAACCGGAACTTTAAATAATTTAACTTATCACTTTTAGTCCTTTTAATTTTTTTTTCATGTTAACATTTTGGATTGGGACGAAACATTTGTTTTCTTCTTTCGTTTTTAAATTCAGTCCTCCTTTGTAACAACACATGGTGCCCAAATTGGGTGGGTTGTTGAAGGTTGGCACCCCGTCCTGAACTGGGTTGTTGAAGGTTGGCACCCCGTCCTGAGCTGGGTTGTTGAAGGTTGGCACCCCGTCCTAAAAGCTGCCCCTGAAAGAAAATAAATTGAAAATGTCGAGAGTTGCTCACCTTTATCTTATCTTCCCTGTCCAGACTCACCTGCATGCTCTCGTCTGTCTCTCTATCTCCGTCCGTGTCTTTCTCTGTCTCTCTATCTCCGCCCGTGTCTTTCTCCGTCTCTCTATCTCCGTCCGTGTCTTTCTCCGTCTCTCTATCGCCGTCCGTGTCTTTCTCCGTCGCTCTTTAGATCTAGGCCCTGCCCGTACCTCTATAGATCTAGGCCCTGCCCGTCGCTCTATAGATCTAGGCCCTGCCCGTCGCTCTATAGATCTAGGCCCTGCCCGTCCCTCTATAGATCTAGGCCCTGCCCGTCCCTCTATAGATCTAGGCCCTGCCCGTACCTCTATAGATCTAGGCCCTGCCCGTACCTCTATAGATCTAGGCCCTGCCCGTCGCTCTATAGATCTAGGCCCTGCCCGTCGCTCTATAGATCTAGGCCCTGCCCGTACCTCTATAGATCTAGGCCCTGCCCGTACCTCTATAGATCTAGGCCCTGCCCGTACCTCTATAGATCTAGGCCCTGCCCGTCTTTCTCCGTATTATTGTAAGAGTACATACCAGGTTCTAAGATCATAGTGCAGCAGAAGAAAAAAAAGACGCGCATGTTTTGATATTACTGCGCAGAAATGAATATATGTAACATATTTCATGTAACATATTTCAACAAAACTTGACAGCAGAAGTGAATCTAAACCAAAAAAATGGATTTGAGTGAGAAAAAAAATTGGCAGCTAGTAGCAAGGTAGCTTTTGGATGCAGCCATCTCCGTATGCTATCGGGGGGGATCCCTCAGGACGGGAGATAACTCCTTATCGGATGTTATTTTTGGTGGGCTGGATGTTTCTCACCTCCCCAGCCCTGAGTCCTTTATTTATCTAATCATTTCGTGTATCTTTGAGCCACTTCCTGCCGTAGAACACACGTACCTTACGCACGCGGCTCTCTCAGACCTTGATGCTGAAAACATTTTCAGACTGATCAATTTTAACTTGATGTCGAATTCAGCAGGGTTGAGGGTGGTGTGGTAGCACGCAGTTGTTGGAAACATTCGCTGGTCATCTGATGTTTTTGTGTAGTCTTTGTCCTATTGTCCCATGTAGTCTTTGTCCTATTGTCCCGTGTAGCCACTGTCCTATTGTCCCATGTAGCTACTGTCCTATTGTCCCATGTAGCCACTGTCCTATTGTCCCGTGTAGCCACTGTCCTATTGTCCCATGTAGCCACTGTCCTATTGTCCCGTGTAGCCACTGTCCTATTGTCCCGTGTAGCCACTGTCCTATTGTCCCATGTAGCCACTGTCCTATTGTCCCATGTAGCCACTGTCCTATTGTCCCGTGTAGCCACTGTCCTATTGTCCCATGTAGCCACTGTCCTATTGTCCCGTGTAGCCACTGTCCTATTGTCCCGTGTAGCCACTGTCCTATTGTCCCATGTAGCCACTGTCCTATTGTCCCATGTAGCCACTGTCCTATTGTCCCGTGTAGCCACTGTCCTATTGTCCCATGTAGCCACTGTCCTATTGTCCCGTGTAGCCACTGTCCTATTGTCCCGTGTAGCCACTGTCCTATTGTCCCATGTAGCCACTGTCCTATTGTCCCATGTAGCCACTGTCCTATTGTCCCGTGTAGCCACTGTCCTATTGTCCCATGTAGCCACTGTCCTATTGTCCCATGTAGCCACTGTCCTATTGTCCCGTGTAGCCACTGTCCTATTGTCCCATGTAGCCACTGTCCTATTGTCCCGTGTAGCCACTGTCCTATTGTCCCATGTAGCCACTGTCCTAGGTAGCCACTGAATTGGTGTGCTATTGGACCGCCGCCTACCATTGTGTAGTGAGAAGGAGCCTGGTAAAAATGATTTCATGAATTATTTAACACATCAACTATAGGACCGGTGTCTTTCACAAACAACCTCACAGACACTGGGCCTGGGTAAAATATGGACCACAGGTGAGCGGTCAGCTCTAGGTCATCTAGGTGCCAGATCTTAAGCAGCACACCTGGCCATACCGGCTTATCTTCTGATGGCAGGGGGTGGGGCGGTGGCTGGGGTAGGGCAGTCGTTGGTTGTGTAGCGGTGAACTTTACACATCTAGTTCAATGTGTCTTTATGTTTCAAATTACAATCTGGTTAGATCGAGGTATCAGGTCGTTCTTAGGACATGGCTGACCAACTAGCCTGCTCTACAAATAGCTGTCGTTTCTGTCGTCAGCAAACTAGCCTGCCTGTATTTGAGTGAGTAGTTAGCCTGCCCTAGTTGAGCACTACTGTAGCGTCACCTTCTGCTAAGTAAACAAATCCATCGCTACATTTTTAATGGACGGCAAGAGAACACGAGACGCCATAGGACGCCATGTTTTTAGTCAGCTCGTTGTTTTCCTTCTGGCTGGCGAGACGGCCATCTGTTGCCAGGCGAGGGTTCTTTGTTTCATCTGAGGGTGTACCGGCGCTCACTGGAAGCACTTGGGTATTAGCTCCTCGTTAAACCCTCGGCGTGGTGGGGCAGACGACTTAACGGCCGACTTACGATCAAAAGACCTATAGATGAAATGTTTTGACGATTAAATAGGCATTTGGACTTAATTTTCTTAAGTACTCAAGCAACTACTAAGTTTATATCATACGTTTTCTTACCGTTGTGGGGGGGGGGGGGGTCAACGAAAACCGTTTATTGATGGACGAATTGACTCGTGATTGGTTTACGCCGACTTCATGCGCAGTCGCTGTGTTCAAATAAACCACTGCCAGGCTAAGCTAGATGGTCCACATTTACCTCGGGACGAGAAAAACACGTGCGTGTGCTATAAGAGTGGTCTGTGTGGGTTGTACTCACTGTGTGTGTTGTGCTTGGTGTGTGTGTGTGTTGCATTCACTTTATTTGTTGTGCTGTATATTCAACCTCTGATGACGTGTGTCAGACATTAAACGATGACGACGTGTGTCAGACTCTGAACGATGACGACGTGTGTCGATTACCATCCGAATTGATTTGTGGGGGGGGGGGGGGGGGAGGCTGGGCCGGAAATTGTTTTGTTTACCGGGTAAAAAAACAAAAGATTTTCGTTATGTTGGTTGTTTCCCCTTACCTAATCGATCTGATGACGTCACTGGTGTCCTAACGTCTGGGGTACGGCTGTTAATTGCGGTACCCAGGTATTGGTGGGGCCATGTAGGCTTCAGGTATCCATGTCATGTAGGCCTAGGGTTCAGGTGTCATGGTGTCATTTAGGCCTAGGGTTCAGGTGTCATGGGGTCATGTAGGCCTAGGGTTCAGTGGTCATGTAGGTCTAGGGTTCAGGTGTCATGAGGTCATGTAGGCCTAGGGTTCAGGTGTCATGGTGTCATTTAGGCCTAGGGTTCAGGTGTCATGGGGTCATGTAGGCCTAGGGTTCAGGTGTCATGGTGTCATTTAGGCCTAGGGTTCAGGTGTCATGGGGTCATGTAGGCCTAGGGTTCAGGTGTCATGGTGTCATTTAGGCCTAGGGTTCAGGTGTCATGGGGTCATGTAGGCCTAGGGTTCATGTGTCATGGGGTCATGTAGGCCTAGGGTTCAGTGGTCATGTAGGCCTAGGGTTCAGGTGTCATGAGGTCATGTAGGCCTAGGGTTCAGGTGTCATGTAGGCCTAGGGTTCATGTGTCATGGTGTCATGTAGGCCTAGGGTTCAGGTGTCATGGGGTCATATAGGCCTAGGGTTCAGGTGTCATGAGGTCATCGCTAAAACAATAACAATGACCATTTATGGCATATCAATCGGAAATTCTCTTTTTTTTAACTAATACAACAGCTACACCCAACCTTAACAAATAAACAAGTTTTTCCCCTTGAATCTTGATCGGTAACATCTACCGTAACACCATTGTTTGATTACATTGAACCATGTTACTGTAACACATTTTTTTGTTACATTGAACCATGTTACTGTAAAACCTTTGTTTTGTTACATTGAACCATGTTACTGTAACACCTTTGTTATGTTACATTGAACCACGTTACCGTAACACCTTTGTTTTGTTACATTGAACCATGTTACTGTAACCCCTTTGTTTTGTTACATTGAACCATGTTACCGTAACACCTTTGTTTTGTTACATTGAACCATGTTACTGTAACCCCTTTGTTTTGTTACATTGAACCATGTTACCGTAACACCTTTGTTTTGTTACATTGAACCATGTTACTGTAACCCCTTTGTTTTGTTACATTGAACCATGTTACTGTAACACCTTTGTTTTGTTACATTGAACCATGTTACTGTAAAACTTGTTTTTTGTTCTCCAGCTCCCGGCACAGCCCCAGAAAATGTTGTAGCCAAGGCCATCAGCCCGACCTCCATTATGGTGTCATGGGACGAGCCCAAGATTCCCAACGGTGTCATCATGGTCAGTTGTTTCTTTCACCTCTCACTCTACTTCAGCTGTCATATGTCTCTCTACTTCAGTTGTCTTATGTCACTCTACTTCAGCTGTCATATGTCACTCTACTTCAGCTGTCTTCCTGTCATATGTCACTCTACTTCAGGTGTCATATGTCACTCTACTTCAGCTATCATATGTCACTCTACTTCAGCTGTCATATGTCACTCTACTTCAGCTGTCATATGTCACTCTACTTCAGCTGTCATATGTCACTCTACTTCAGCTGTCATATGTCACTCTACTTCAGCTGTCATATGTCACTCTACTTCAGCTGTCATATGTCACTCTACTTCAGTTGTCATATGTCACTCTACTTCAGCTGTCATATGTCACTCTACCTAAGCTTTCTTCCTATCATAAGTTAAACACTGCACTACTGCCATCTTCATTTAAATGTCTACATCAGTTTTATTTACCAATGGTATTTTCATTTGTCAACAATGTCTTGACAACTAGAGAGTCTTGAGTTTGGATCCGGGCCCAAGTTTTTAAGACAACCTGAGTCCACCTAGCTCTAATGGGTACCTGACTCGTGTTAGGGAAAGTAAAATCAGTAGGATATAGTGCTGAACATGCAGAGATTACAAAGTGAACTCTACTTCCTCTGCCCTATTTACCGCCAGGTCCGACATGGTGCCTTTACCCATGTCATTGTATACTGTACCGCTGCCGTACACCACGCCAGTTGAGCCTGGACATTACACTGCCTGTGGTCAGTCAAGTTCTGACCATGTCTATAGGCCCTACTCCACCAGAGACACTGCCTGCAACCATTACGACAAACCCCAGGGGCTCTCATGATGTAACTGTACCCCAGGGGTTCTCATGATGTAACTGTACCCCAGGGGTTCTCATGATGTAACTGTACCCCAGGGGTTCTCATGATGTAACTGTACCCCAGGGGTTCTCATGATGTAACTTTACCCCAGAGGCTCTCATGATGTAACCGTACCCCAGAGATTCTCATGACAGCTGTACCCCAGGGGTTCTCATGATCTAACCGTACCCCAGAGGTTCTCATGATGTATTTGTACCTACAGGGCTACAAGATTTTCTACACCCTCAAGCCAAACGACCCCATCTTTTTCTGGGAGCAGCTTGAGATAAAGCAGGACAAGCGAGTCTACACCATTGACAACCTCGTCCCTAACGCCACCTACACAGTCTGTCTCCTGGCCTTCTCTAGCGTGGGGCAAGGACCAATGTCTTACCCAGTCCAGGTGCTAACTACACAAGGAGGTGAGTACATCAGCACTCCGCCAAACTGACCACTAACACTATTCATGCCCTACATCAGCTGTCCACCAAACTGACCACTAACACCATCCATGCCCTACATCAACTGACCACTAACACCATCCATGCCCTACATCAGCTGTCCACCAAACTGACCACTAACACTATTCTTGCCCTACATCAGCTGTCCACCAAACTGACCACTAACACTATTCTTGCCCTACATCAGCTGTCCACCAAACTGACCACTAACACCATCCATGCCCTACATCAGCTGTCCACCAAACTGACCACTAACACCATCCATGCCCTACATCAGCTGTCCACCAAACTGACCACTAACACCATCCATGCCCTACATCAGCTGTCCACCAAACAGACCACTAACACCATCCATGCCCTACATCAGCTGTCCACCAAACTGACCACTAACACCATCCATGCCCTACATCAGCTGTCCACCAAACTGACCACTAACACCATCCATGCCCTACATCAGCTGTCCACATACACCAAGTCCACCCCTACACCAATACGTACACCATCATGTAATTATATTGGTGCACATCACCTGAATCTAGATCCAACCATAACAATTATTGTAAGAACTGCTAACCAACCTTATAAATAGCAGGTGGACCAAACATTACTCACCTTTTAATGTTTTGTTCCAAGGCATAAAATAGATTTGTGGAAAAAGATTCTAGTCGTGTCAAATACAAAACAAACAAAAAATAGGAATAAATAATGTAAATCCATTCCCTTTTAAAACTAATGTACATAGCAGTTTCTAGACCAAGCTTTGATGGTAGAATATTTTTAGCATCCTATCTGGTATGTTAACAGACCAAGTTTTGATGGTAGAATATTTTTAGCATCCTATCTGGTATGTTAACAGACCAAGTTTTGATGGTAGAATATTTTTAGCATCCTATCTGGTATGTTAACAGACCAAGTTTTGATGGTAGAATATTTTTAGCATCCTATCTGGTATGTTAACAAATCCTAAGATTATTGTACCAGATGTGGCTCTATAACCACGTCAATCACCGATCACATGGTTCTTCTACCTGGTTAGTCGCCAAAAAAGTTTTATCATGCGTGATGTAAAACAGGTGAAAAATTGCATGCACACCTTATGCTGGGAGTGTAGGCTCCTTGTACTACCAAAGTCTGGCACTTGTTTGCTGGCACTTGTTTACTGGGACATGTCTCCAGCACAAATCTTTGATACGAAGTTTTAAATGCATTACAAGTTTTTGTGTTTGTAAATTTGTTAAACATTGCATAAAGTAATTTTGTAACGATGTATTTTACAAAGTTTCAACCCTTTATGAATGAGCCCTTTGAACCCTGCTGAACCCCCCAAAACCCCCTGAACCCTGAGACCCCTGCACGGCTGAAATGTTCATGGAATGCTGCGTCTGCTCCTGCATGCTCGTCTCTACCGTCTGGTCATGCATGAACGCGACCTTGACCCTGCATGCTCTCTTGACCACCAATATGTGTCATTTGTTTGACATGTGTTGATGACCTTTGCCCTCTCTAAAGCCTGCATCATCTCTGCTTGAAAACAAATTCTGATTGCATGCCATCCTCCGTAATAAATAACCTTGTCTTTTCAGGTCGACTGGAACTAATTTCTATTCTCTGTGTAGAAAGGGAGATAACTGGCGCTGTAAGCTGAGAATGTCAGTCATGTCATGGGGAGATAACTTTAAACCTTTTAAAATAAAATGGCCATTAGGTGGGGGGGGGGAACCTAATTACATTCTGTACTCTACTGGGGTCTGGATGACCATGTGTGACTGACATGACTTAGCCAGCAACCACTCCCCCTCCCCTCTCTCTCTGCTTATGACTCCTTCCCCCCCCCCCCCCAGTGTCTCCCCCGCCCCCTGTGTTGGCCCCCACCCCAGCTAACCGACCTTACATCCCACAACTTGAGTTCACCAACCAGCTTACCTTACCAATTTTGTTTGTTTGAAAACTTTAAGTTTGACTAGTTTTTTATTTCATCCCACCCTCCTGTCTCCCTCCCTCTTTGTTTACACAGTTATTGGTGTTGTCATTCCCCTCCTTTCCCCCACCCCCCACCCAGGAGATTGAAGCTCCCACCGTGGTGTTGTGCACGTTTCATACCATTGTATTGAATTTCAGCTGGGAGAGGGGTCAATGCTCCAACCAAAGTCCCTCAGTCAATATTTGACGGTAAGTTCCCCAGCAGCGCCTCACCCTGGAGGCCGGGCCACCATGTGTTTTATCGTCTTTCTTAACCTCTTCACTGTTTGACCACCCAGATATTAGAGAACAAACTTTCTCATATCTTTGTGTTTTTTTCTTGCGCGCTGCGCCAGCTTTTAGAGCCAATGTACCATGACGCACACGCGCGTATATCACTAACCCTACCTAAGTGTTTTTATTTCTCCAGCCCGGGTCACTGATCTTCACTATTTCACGTTTAGATTTTCTTTGCAGGTTGCATTTGTCATTTTGCTCTCACTCAGATGGGGTGGGGGAAGGAAGCACTTGTGTGTTTGATGGGTGGTCAAGTGACCTCCAAACTCTATTGGTCAGCCAATGACCCGGGTCGTCTGGACCTGGGAGTTTGGAGGTGGGGACGTGAAACTTGTGCTTCCCTCCCCCACCCCAACCTCCCCGCACCTTTAGCTCTTGCTTCAGCTAGCGTTTCTTTGCTGCGTCCTGTCAGCGCGCACCGCCTCGCTTCCCACCTAGCCTGGCTCCCCAACGGGCCTGGCTCCCCAACGGGCCTGGCTCCCCAACTTGCATTACTCATCAGGGCCGCCCTGCATGTGGCTCCAATATTTGCATGCTGCGTTTTATTTTGGCATGTCCTGTTATTTTGGCATGTGTCCACTACCTCCCCAGCGCATGAAGTGGCCATCTTGTTAAGTGACCATCTTGTTACTGATGAATGCCTGTGGTGTTGTCTCTCTTAGCCCACACAAACCAGACTCGCCCGACAGCAGGCTCCATATCTTACATACACACCTCCAATTTTGATCTACACACCATTTTTAACAGGCAATAAAATCTAAAAACCTAGTCAAAATAAACATGTAGAGATTAACCCATTCTATCCCTAGCAATGAACATGTAGAGGTTAACCCCTTCCATCCCAAATGTAGAGATTAACCCATTAATGTCCAAACCAGTCGTGTGTCGCCAAGTCTGTGTGTGGCTAAAGAATAAATGACATCATCCAAATCTGTCGACTTTTGTTGCACCTCAGCACTTTTTCCTGTCAAACTAAAATCTTCTTGTATTCATCTTTAACTCATTATTATTCATGCTTGAAAGTGTTAATTAAATCTTGTTGTATTCATCTGTATCTAATTACTTTTCATGCTTGAAAGTGTTAATTAAATCTTGTTGTATTCATCTGTATCTAATTACTTTTCATGCTTGAAAAAGTTTGTTTCATCAAACACTATTTTTAAATTTATGAATTTTTTTTTCTTGTAATTAAAATATGAATGTTCTAAAATATGCACCATTTAAATTTTTTAAGAAATGGATGTCTTAAAATATGTGCACCGTTCAGATTTCTTTGAAAATGTATGTTGTAATATGTGCACCATTTGATACACTGGTTTCTAGCTTCACGCTTTGTGTTGTCACTAGTTCCATATAACACCTGTATAACATTGGCTGGTAGTTCACACGTTTTACCTGCAGTCAACTGTAACTCACATTGGAAGATTTCATGTTGACACTGGCTTAATTTTGTTAAATATTTTTTTAAATCTCAAAAAAATAAAACCGAGAGGTTTTTGCCTAGATGTAAGCTCTATGAGAATTAGCCTGATTGAAATCACTGCCATCTTGGCGTGTGTGGTTCACCCTAACACCCTGAACATAACTTGATCCAACAGTCAAGTTGTATTACTTCCCTTCAAGTCGTATTACTTCCCTTCTAGTCGTATTACTTCCCTTCATTGGACAGAATAGCTTGATAGAAGGACAAGAGAATGTATATTTTGTAACAGAACTTGTATTGCAATATAAAAACATTTGAAACAGAATTTTTCTTCCAATATAAAAACATTTTTTTAAAAAGTGATTTAACTGCATGTGTGTTTACATGGTTGTACATTACAGTTGACCATTAGATGAACATGTTCCTTAATTAAAACATAAATAAACTTAACATAATTGAATAGCCTGAGCACACGCTCTGCTGCAGCTGTTAATTTGGCCAGTCAGTGTGTGTGTGTGTGTCCATCGTTCTAACCAGTTTGTTGCGCGCGATCGTGTGACGGGTGTCCTTGGGTAGTTCCATGCAGCCATGTTGGTGGACCCACACCCTCTTGCTTGTACTAATGACGTGTTTCTTGTTTTTCATCTGTCCACGGTACTGACTACAGGGCAACCAGGTGAGGGATGCGATCAGCATTTACTTTTATTGTACATCATCTCACAAAGATTCTTTCGCTTATTTTACTCATCATTTTACAGTTTCACTTCAGTTGTTTTTTTTTTGGTTTTTTTTTAATTTGCAATTTTAATTACAGCTTTTTATTTCTTGATTTATTTATTCTTTCCTTGAGTAAACTAAAGCACTTAAATTAAATATCTGTACTAACTCCTGAGTTTGTTCCCTTGTTTTTTGATGTTGTTGTACAAATTGAAGATTAAGATTTAATTTTATAAATTTCTGTTGTCCTCATTTCTTATGCCATTGGTTGTTGTAAAAAAATTTGTGATCTTAATTTCTTGTAACAATTTGATTTTTGTGATGTTAATTTCTTGTAACAATTTGATTTTTGTGATCTTAATTTCTTGTGCCATAATTTACTGTCCCAGTTATCAATTAATTTGACATCTGTTTCAGTTGTAAACTTACAATCAGTTTGCTTAGATTGCTCATCATGTCAAATAATTTCATGTGTGAATCCTGTGTGAGCATGTCAAATAATTTCATGTGTGAATCCTGTGTGAGCATGTATGCCAGATGACTGACACAGTACCAGTTTGTGCTACTAATATAGAGCTTGTTGTGTTGATATGATACGGTGTATGAGAAGCAAACATCTTGTCCAGTACCCCCCTGGTGTAGTCATTAGCCTATCACTGGCTGTATAAACCTGCTTGTGTTTTCTGGCTGTCTCACCATGCTAGCACTGGTCACAGCTTGACCCTTGTCTACACACTGCCGGCCTCTCTCACAATGCGCTCACTATTTTTTTCTTTGCCGGCCCAGCGGCCCCAAATGCGGCCCCACATACGCATGGCGCAGAAGTGCTGCTAGTTCAGGCCCTGCCGCGCCCCCAGGCATGCGTTAACTCCTGCACCACTCACTTGCGCAGCGTTGCGCTTTTGTGTGCTGGGTACTCGCTGCGGCTGAGCGCATTTTTTGGCCTTAATATATTGTATCCATTTCTTTCACAGAAGCTTCTCTCCTGGAAGTCGCATGTTCTGCCTTGATCCTGTCTTCTGTCTTCTGTCTTCTGTCCTGTTTCTCTTCTCTCATGGACACATCTATTTTTAACTGACCTGCTTATAAGAGTACTCACTTGAAAATCTCAGTGCCTCAAACTATTTAACCCCAATTATCTGCTGTCCAAGAATGTCCCCCATTTCTCCAAAAGTTTATGGAGCTGAAGATTCTTGTGATGTATGAGTGTCACTAAGGAAGCCCCCCTTATGAGACCCTGTGAAGAGAGTACATGTATCATCCCATATCTAGCCCTGCCTGAAACAAAAAGAACACTCTCTAACCCAGCTCTCTTGTATTTCAGTGCCTTACCAGCCCATGAACCTCAAGGCCCAGGCCATCTCCCCTACGGTCATCGTTGTGTCCTGGGACCCCCCGCTTGAGACAGACACCGTCAAGAGCTACGAGCTCTACTACAATGACTCACATTTCAGGCAGACTAACCGCTGGACCATCCAGCCTCCGGTTGCGACCTACAAAATTATAAACTTAACCCCAGACACTACCTACAATATTCAGGTAAGTTTACTAATGCCTAGCACCACAGGTAAGTTTACTAACACCTAACACCACAGGTAAGTTTACAAACACCTAACACCAACTTTGAAATACAACCTGTGTTGTATATATACTCTGTAGATATCCACCATATTAACCTCATTGACTTTATTTTAATGAAATAAATTGACCTATAATGATAATAAATCTGTGTTTGGATCCACCAAGGTTTCTGCCAAGTCAACCCGCGGGGAGGGGCCAAGGACCCCCACCGTACAAGCCCACACCCCACCCTACAGTGAGTATAGTGTTGTCAACCCACTGCACCGGCCTTTTATTAAAGCTGTTGAAAAAGTTTCTTGTGTTTTTAAATGGACTGTCAAATTTTTAACTCTTGTTGTTGTCTTTCCCCAATCACCTGATGTACCTGACCCCACCCTGTATGTGTAACCTTCACCTTGGTCTGTGTATGTGGGTCTCACCTTTTGCCTTGAACTCTATCACCCAGTAGACCAACCAACCTGTATTTTCAGTCAGCCATTTTGTTTTTCTCAATGAGCCTGATGTGAGATCTAGATCTGCTAACTTTAATGAAAAATGGTTGCAATAAAATCCTAATTATAAAAACAACTGGTGTTGATGTTCTATAAATATTTTCATAAACCTCATGTCAACTATCAATACACAAGTTTTTTTTAATAGAACAAAATTTTTGTTTCATTAGTCAATTGGCTATGTAATGCTTATTACAAGTTTTGATTTTTTTGTGCTTTATATGATATACTTGAATTTAATTGTATGTTCTGCTTGCTTAGACCTGAGAGTATACGTAGAGCCATTATGTTGTTAGACTTCCCTCTCTTTCTTTGTGTTTTCCAGTTTTGTGTTTCTGTTTAATGTGAGGATAAAATATCAATGCTAATCCACAGATTTAAAGATGGATGGAATGACACCTACCTTTAATAGCATGCAACTGTTTATGTATAACAATAGCACACTAGGTCAGTAGGTCATATCATACTAGGTCAGTAGGTCATACCATACTAGGTCAGTAGGTCATAACATACTCTGTCAGTAAGTTATCATAATAGGTCAATAGGTCATATCATACTAGGTCAGTAGGTGATACAGGGTCTAGGATATTACCCCCCTGTCAATTACACACACACACACCCCAAGTTAGAATCCAGACTTCAACTCCAACTCTGTACCTTTATATTACCTTAATCCTAACTTCAAGAAAAAGACCAAAACCTAATAACCTAAGCATTCAACTATCACTAACCAACCTTCACCCTAACCTTAGCCTTATAAAAATTAGGTCAAAGGTCACCTCCAGCACAGAATAATTTTTTTTTAATCGCCAGATTAATTTAAACTTGATTAGTGGTTTACTCAGCCTTGGTTAAACTTTCCTACAGTCAGGCTAATGATGTACTCAGCCTTGGTTAAACTTCCCTACAGTTAGGCTAACTGATTTACTCTGCCTTGGTTAAACTTCCCTACAGTGAGGCTAACGATTTATTCAGCCTTGGTTAAACTTCCCTACAGTTAGGCTAACTGATTTACTCTGCCTTGGTTAAACTTCCCTACAGTGAGGCTAACTGATTTTTTATCCACAGTTAAAGCATGTCAGTCCCCCCATCATCTGCTTTTGTCTTGTCCCAGCTTGTTTCATCAACTCACTAACCCAAGACATCATTTTTATGTTGCTAATTTTTCTTGTGTACATTCTTCATCCCATTTCTGTCATATCACACCCACTTAGACCCAGAAGCACCCCCAGAAAATGTCACTGTGGTCATGGTCAGCGAGAAAGAGCTAAAAGTGACGTGGAGGCCACCCCGTGAAAAGTTAAATGGAAAACTGCGAGGGTTTAAGGTCTATTACCTGGAGCTGGGCTCTGGCAAGAGTGATAGGGACGCAGACGTGATGAGCTTTGGTGACAGTCAGCTGTCAACTGTCATAGGTGGCCTCAAGACCTGGACTGATTACAAAGTGTGGGTGTCAGCTTTTAACATGGCGGGGGAAGGCCCAGGATCTGCTCCAGTGACCGCCAGAACAGATGAGGATGGTAGGTAGCCCCGCTGGTTCTCCCATTTGATTGGCTGGTTGATTGGATGGCTATAAATAGCTCTTGGATGCTGGCTGTTGTCTACCTCCCATTCAGGGATCTGCTTGGTCCATCCTGGCATCTGGTCTCTCCTTGCATCCGGTCTCTCCTTGCATCTGGTCTCACCTAGCCATTGGTCTAACCTAGCCATTGGTCTAATGTTGGTTGAATCCACTGTGATCCCTGTCCTTTTAGGGTCCACTTTTGTGCAGTGCTAGTATTTGTGTGGCCCCACTCTATGTCTGCCTGTTAATTTTTAACCTTTCTGTGATGGTTGGAGCTACTAACTTTGGTGTCAACTAAATTATTTTATTCTTTCCAATTTTTTTAATAAATTCTCACATCTGTTGAAAGCTGCATTTTATTCAATAAAAACAATCTGGAAATTTCTTCTGATCAAAGCGTAAATATTTGAAACTTTTAACTGCACGCACGTTGGCATGTCTGCCGTCCCGCAGGTCAATGAACTTCCTGCTAATGAAGCATGTTTTGACCCTGTTTTTTTCTCAGTGCTCAGTGTGATGTACATCGTGTTTGGGGCCTCATGTGCGCTCACCTTACTGACACCATTTCAATCTGAGCTGTGGGTCCAGCCCTCCTAAACTTTCATGACAAATTGAAACCAACACTATAATCATTGCTCCAAAACTGACATGTTACACAAAAATATAACTGCTTGTGACAGTGAACTATTGACAGGAGACTTTCTTAGCATATCTTGAAGGATCATCATTCTGTGCGGTCATTTCATCATTCTCTGCAGTCATTTCATCATTCTGCGCAGTCATTTCATCATTCTGTGCAGTCATTTCATCATTCTGTGCTGTCATTTCATCATTCTGTGCTGTCATTTCATCATTCTGCGCAGTCATTTCATCATTCTGTGCAGTCATTTCTTCAATCTGTGCAGTCATTTCATCATTCTGTGCAGTCATTTCATCATTCTGTGCAGTCATTTCATCATTCTGTGCAGTCATTTCATCATTCTGTGCAGTCAGGTTACTCATTTCATCATGATCATCCACTCATGGAAATTCTCATGTCCCAACCATCCTTCAGTTGTTCATCATTTTTCCATTCTTTAGTTCTTTACAAAGTTTCCTGTTTGTTTCATGCACAAAACATTTTGAACTTTTTATTTTTTAAGTTGCCATTTTCTGCGTACTGCCGCTTTCGTTCAAATTAGTTGCATTTTGCTTTCATTTTTCTATTTATATCTATTATGCTTCACTCATACATCTTAAAGACTAAATATGAAAATCTCTGCCAAAAACTTTTTTTAATTTATTCTCCTTGAGAAATGGAATGATTTGATTGGTTAGCTCTCACTGTAAGCCTGTCATGGCTCTAACAATTGCGTAAGTATCCAATGGTATCCATGTTTGATGCAGTAGCTTCTGTGTATTAGCTGCCCCTGCTTTCTATTGCTGTTATCTGGTTCATGTTGTGATAATATATTGCATGTAATCTTCAATGTTCACTTTTGCTTGTTTGAGCACTCTTCTAAACACCATGAACTTCAGTGTTGTATAAACACCATGAGCTGTAATGTTGTATGTTGGATAAACACACTGTAAACTGGAATGTTGGATGTGATGGAATGTTGGTCATTAGATGCAAGTTACCTGATGTGTAGTTAGAATGTTGGATATTATGAACATTTCAGCAACTAATCTCTTGAGCTCAGTTATAAAACATGAACAAAGAGAATCCTACTGGTGGAGTGGGAAGTCAAAAATATCATTTGGTAGTTTGAGATGGGTTTTTTTTTTTTGTTTTTTTTTAATACTTTCAGCATATTGATGGTCCAGTGTTATATAAGGACATTAGACAAACTTAAACCATCAATGTAGTGAGTGTAGGACCTAAGATTTGAACTTAAACCATCAATGTAGTGAGTGTAGGGCCTTAGATTTGAACTTAAACCATCAATGTAGTGAGTGTAGGGCCTTAGATTTGAACTTAAACCATCAATGTAGTGAGTGTAGGACCTAAGATTTGAAGTTAAACCATCAGTTTAGTGTGTTAGGACCTTAGATTTGAAGTTAAACCATCAGTTTAGTGAGTTAGGACCTTAGATTTGAACTTAAACCATCAATGTAGTGAGTGTAGGGCCTTAGATTTGAAGTTAAACCATCAGTTTAGTGAGTGTAGATCCTGACCCAGCTGGTACATAGTTTATCAGCCAATAGGTTGTCTGCCCTTGTTCATCAGCCCATGAAAAGAAATGCTCACTCTCTGACTTGTCTCAAATAGTACCAGGTGAACCCAAGCGTGTGAGAGTGGAGGCTGTCAACTCCACCAGCCTCATGGTGGAATGGGAACCTCCACCACCTAAAGAGCAAAACGGCGCCATCAAAGGCTACCAGGTACAGATCTTTTAGCTCCAACACTCACATTATGTTGTCAGTCTTCTGTTTGTCTGATTCACTGTTTGTCTATCTGACATTAGTGTTATGTTTGTCTGTCTAATTCACTGTCTGTCTAATTCACTGTTTGTCTGTCTAATTAACTATTTGTCTGTCTAATTCACTGTTTGTCTGTCTAATTAACTATTTGTCTGTCTAATTCACTGTTTGTCTGTCTAATTAACTATTTGTCTGTCTAATTCACTGTCTGTGAAGTGAAGTAAAAGACATCTGATACATGGATGCATCATCTTTCTTATTAAATATTTGATCAAGCTATTTTAAACTCTGATTAAAAAGGTTAAAAAATCTGTTGAAAATATAAAGAAGCAATCCAATAATCCTGATATTTAACCTATTTTATCTCATTAACGTGTGTATTAAATTAGCCAAGTATACAATGTATGGGTGTCTCCACCATTACATTGTGTTTTAAATTAGCCAAGTATACAATGTATGGGTGTCTCCACAGGTCCATTACATTGAGGTGGACAGTAACGACGAGCCACTTTCTGGAGTCAGAGAGCAGAGCTACGATGTCTACACAGCATCAGTCACCAGCGCCATCATCACCAACCTGAAGCCAGAGACGCGGTACCTGGTGCAGGTGGCGGCCTACACCAAGAAGGGGGACGGGATGAGGAGCAGGGCCAGGGTGCTGACCACCAAGGGAGCCGGTAGATACCTGTTTGTTGAGGCAGTGCTTAGAGAGATGTCACAGGAAATGACTGCATGTGTCTAGCCGTAGCCCGTTGCATGCACTAGACAGTTTGTTGTGGACAATGATCAGACACACACATACAATTTCTGGACAGTTTTTTAATCAGCCTAACACTGGAATAACTCATGACTGAACAAATTAAACAGTGAACCTTGTAACTAACTTGTAACGTTTGAAGAACTAACTGTCAAATCTTTAGGGGGAAAATTTTCCCATTACTTATACAATATCTAACACCTAACCCGTTATTTTTAAATCTGAAAAGAAAATTTGATAACGCTCCCACCCCCTTTTTTTCTTCATAGTTCCATCCCCCCCAAGAAACCTGAACGTGGAACTTGTACAAGAAGACCCACCCAGTGCCAAACTGACCTGGCAGCGCCCCGCTGAAACCCACGGCGATATCAAGAACTACAAGATAATTTGGGGGCCTCGCGGGGAGAGATATGAGGAGAATATTCTCAACCCAGAGATCTATTCCTACCTCACAAACACACTAGGTAACCTCCCCAGTAGTTAGACCTGACACCCCTCAAACTAGCTGAACATTCCTCCATACAATATGAAAAGCCATTGGTCCAAACTGGTCAGTCCACATCCATCATCCATAGAGGGGGGGGGGGGGACAGGTTCATTCTAAACCAGACTGTATAGAATGGAAGTTTACATGGAATTCTCCACTGGGGGGGGGGGGGGGGGAAGAGATGAAGATTGAATACAGACTGAAAGTTCACATACAATTCTCCCCTAGCGAGGGGGGGGATGACAACTGAATACAGACTGTTCACATGCAATCATGACCCATGACATTCTGTCACTAGTTGTGTCACCCACCTGACTATGGTCAGATCTTGTTTGCACTGTCCAGCAGCCAGCTAGCCTTATGTCAACTGATGTTACCCACCCAATCAACTCATTGTTTTTTATATTTGATGTATTCTTTTATTTTCTACCTCCTAACATAAGTGGCTTTTCATATGTTTAACTTTGTCAATTTTATAGCCAGTATTTTTAATAAAAATGTATTCTATCATAGTATTGTTAAATTCAACATCATTCATGCTAATATTGTACACTGAACATATTCCATGGTAGTGTTGTGTTATTCAACATCATTCATCCTAGTGCTGTATCATAGTTTCCTATGTCCATTTTGATGAAAAGAAAAATAAAAGAATTTTTTGCCTATGTCTTACAGTAGTTGCTTGAAGATACACTATCAGTGCTGTGCACCTTTGTAAATTCTATTTCCACTGGTTCAAGTCTTAACGAGCTAATTTTTTTTTAAAAGTTGTACAAATGTGTTAGTCCTAACGGCTGCCCGGACATGAGCTGTAGCGTTTTGTTTTTCTGTTTGCAGACAAAGGCACAACCTATGAGTTCAGAGTCTCAGCTAAAAATGAAGTGGACTACGGTGACCGGGCAGTGACCACTCTCATCACACCTGATGGAGGTTGTACAACACTTCATTCGTTTGTTTTAATGACATACAACACTTCATTCATTAGTTTTATTGATATACAACACTTCATTCGTTACTTTCCTCTACTTGCAGCCCCCTCTGGTGCCCCACAAAACTTCACAGCCACTGGCCTGACAGAAACCTCCGTCAGACTCACCTGGGACCTACCTGCCCGTAACCTGCGCAACGGTGACATTGTCATGTACCAGATAGCGTACCACAAGCTATCAGAGCCAACCAGAGAGGAAGACTTGAACTGCACTGATGCCTTCATTGACATAGTCAGTCTGGACATGAACACGGACTACATCTTCAAAATCAAAGCCTACACCACCCGTGGTGCTGGACCCTGGAGCAACAAACTGCACTTCCGCACATTTGGCAAAAGTGAGTGCTTTCTCACCTATAAATCTTTTAGCCAGCTTTTTTGTTCAACTGTTGAACCTATAACTGGCATAACTTAAATATCTGACCACTATCTGGACTGATTTTTTTCTAATTTTCTGAGTTTTGTAGGTCAACAATGTGTTTAAGTTCATACACGTACTATCATTTAACTCCTGTAACATTTGATTCCATTAGATGTTAACTACACATTGACTATTTAAAGTGTACACATTCAGTGTACACATTCAGTGTACACATTCAGTGTACACATTCAGTGTACACATTCAGTGTACACATTTAGTGTACATATGAGCCTGACCTCAGCGGTGTATGTTGGTCACAGAAACCTGACTAAGAAATGTAACTTACCTCTTGTAGTGCCACCCCCACCAAAGAACCTGACTAAAAAATGTAACTTACCTCTTGTAGTGCCACCCCCAAAAAAAGAAACCTGACTAAAAAATGTAACTTACCTCTTTTAGTGCCACCCCCACCAAAGAACCTGACTAAAAAATGTAACTTACCTCTTGTAGTGCCACCCCCACCAAAGAACCTGACTAAAAAAATGTAACTTACCTCTTTTAGTGCCACCCCCACCAAAGAACCTGACTAAAAAAATGTAACTTACCTCTTGTAGTGCCACCCCAACCAAAGAACGTGACTAAAAATGTAACTTACCTCTTGTAGTGCCACCCCCAAAAAAAGAAACCTGACTAAAAAATGTAACTTACCTCTTGTAGTACCACCTTCACCAAAGAACCTGACTAAAAAAATGTAACTTACCTCTTGTAGTGCCACCCCCACCAAAGAACGTGAAAGTGCGCCGGACATCAGACTCCACGCTGGAGGTGAGGTGGGATGACACGGAGGCGCTGGTGTCTGGGTACAAGATCTACTACAACCTGTTTGCCACGCCCGCCATGTACGCCTGGCAGCAGAAGGAGATTGGCCCGTACACAGTGGCTGACATCACAGGAGTGGAGGCGCACTCGGTCTACGCTGTCCGTGTGCAGGCCAAGTCTGTTGATGGTCGCTATGGCAACATGTCAGAAGTTGTTACCACGGATGTCAAGGAGACACGTAAGTACAACTTAGTTTAGATTGTATGGAGACTGGGAATAAATATCTAGAACAGAAATTAACCCTTCTACTGCTGTTAGTGTAGTTTAGGACCGGACACCAAAAGGAAAACATATCTAAGCGCTACCATATATGAATGTCACGTGTTGATGATTTCTTTTTGTCAAGATTTCTTGTCCACTGTCTTTCCTGTACAGTATGATGTGATTATGTTTTATATCATTGCGTAACAAATCACAACACTTACCAGTGTGTAACATATCACAACACTTACCAATGTGTAACAAATCACAAAACTTACCAATGTGTAACATATCACAACACTTATCAATGTGTAACATATCACAACACTTACCGGTGTGTAACATCACGACTCAATGTAACATAGTTCCAGCCTTAATAAAATACAGCTGAGACTAAATATAATGAACGAAAGGACGTGACTAAATGAATGAAAGGACGTGACTAAATGAAATGAATGAAAGGACGTGACTAAATGAAATGAATGAAAGGACGTGACTAAATGAAATGAATGAAAGGATGTGACTAAATGAATGAAAGGACGTGACTAAATGAAATGAATGAAAGGACGTGACTAAATGAAATGAATGAAAGGACATGACTAAATGAAAGGAATGAAAGGACATGACTAAATGAATGAATGAAAGGACGTGACTAAATGAAATGAATGAAAGGACGTGACTAAATGAAATGAATGAAAGGACGTGACTAAATGAAATGAATGAAAGGACGTGACTAAATGAATGAAAGGACGTGACTAAATGAAATGAATGAAAGGACGTGACTAAATGAAATGAATGAAAGGACGTGACTAAATGAAATGAATGAAAGGACGTGACTAAATGAAATGAATGAAAGGACGTGACTAAATGAAATGAATGAAAGGACGTGACTAAATGAAATGAATGAAAGGACGTGACTAAATGAAATGAATGAAAGGACGTGACTAAATGAAATGAATGAAAGGACGTGACTAAATGAAATGAATGAAAGGACGTGACTAAATGAAATGAATGAAAGGACGTGACTAAATGAAATGAATGAAAGGACGTGACTAAATGAAATGAATGAAAGGACGTGACTAAATGAAATGAATGAAAGGACGTGACTAAATGAAATGAATGAAAGGACGTGACTAAATGAAATGAATGAAAGGACGTGACTAAATGAAATGAATGAAAGGACGTGACTAAATGAGATGAATGAAAGGACGTGACTAAATGAGATGAATGAAAGGATGTGACTAAATGAAATGAATGAAAGGACGTGACTAAATTAAATGAATGAAAGGACGTGACTAAATGAAATAAACTGATGATTTTTGTCTGGCAGAACGTGAGGATGCCGTCCAGAAGTTCCGAGCATCCAGCGTCTTGTCCAAAGAAGTGACCCTACAGTGGGAAAAACCTAAGCTTGGTGACGTGTCCAAATATATTGTAAGTATGTCGTTTCCAAATATATTGTGTGATGTGTCCAAATATATTGTAAGTATGACGTGTCCAAATATATTGTAAGTATATCGTGTCCAAATCAATTGTAAGTATGTCGTGTCCGAATAAATTGTATGTTTTGTCCTAATATATTGTGTGTCCAAATATATTGTAAGTGTGAGGTGTCCAAATATATTGTATGTTTTGTCCTAATATATTGTGTGTCCAAATATATTGTAAGTGTGAGGTGTCCAAATATAGTAAGTTTGTCGTGTCCAAATATATTGTAACTGAATTATACTAGATTCATTTTTGTTTCAGCTGAACTACACTGGGTTCAAATCCTACAGAGAGGACAACAATAGAATAACCTCCGACGACTCAAAGGATATCACCATTGCCGGCCACTTAAACACTTTTACTGTGGAGAACCTGAAACCAAAGATGAAATATGAGTTCAACATCAGCGCCATATTTGCCTCATCCAAAACCAGGGGTTCTGTTCAACATCTGGTGACAGAGACATTGATAGATGGTAAGTTGTCCAACTTCTGGTGACAGAGACATTGATAGATGGTAAGTTGTCCAACTTCTGGTGACAGAGACATTGATAGATGGTAAGTTGTCCAACTTCTGGTGACAGAGACATTGATAGATGGTAAGTTGTCCAACTTCTGGTGACAGAGACATTGATAGATGGTAAGTTGTCCAACTTCTGGTGACAGAGACATTGATAGATGGTAAGTTGTCCAACTTCTGGTGACAGAGACATTGATAGATGGTAAGTTGTCCAACTTCTGGTGACAGAGACATTGATAGATGGTAAGTTGTCCAACTTCTGGTGACAGAGACATTGATAGATGGTAAGTTGTCCAACTTCTGGTGACAGAGACATTGATAGATGGTAAGTTGTCCAACTTCTGGTGACAGAGACATTGATAGATGGTAAGTTGTCCAACTTCTGGTGACAGAGACATTGATAGATGGTAAGTTGTCCAACTTCTGGTGACAGAGACATTGATAGATGGTAAGTTGTCCAACTTCTGGTGACAGAGACATTGATAGATGGTAAGTTGTCCAACTTCTGGTGACAGAGACATTGATAGATGGTAAGTTGTCCAACTTCTGGTGACAGAGACATTGATAGATGGTAAGTTGTCCAACTTCTGGTGACAGAGACATTGATAGATGGTAAGTTGTCCAACTTCTGGTGACAGAGACATTGATAGATGGTAAGTTGTCCAACTTCTGGTGACAGAGACATTGATAGATGGTAAGTTGTCCAACTTCTGGTGACAGAGACATTGATAGATGGTAAGTTGTCCAACTTCTGGTGACAGAGACATTGATAGATGGTCAGTTGTCCAACTTTTGGTGACAGAGACATTGATAGGTGGTAAGTTGTCCAACTTCTGGTGACAGAGACATTGATAGATGGTCAGTTGTCCAACTTCTGGTGACAGAGACATTGATAGATGGTAAGTTGTCCAACTTCTGGTGACAGAGACATTGATAGATGGTAAGTTGTCCAACATCTGGTGACAGAGACATTGATAGATGGTCAGTTGTGGTCAGGTAATTCAACTCTCAATACAAGACGTCTGACACATGAAATAGTTTGAGAAAAGTTGCTTGATTCAAGTATAAAAAAAACACTGAATACCTTCCACAGCAGTGGTTTTATGACTTTTTTTTTTGTTAAAAGTTTTTATTTCCGAGTTTTAATTCAACTCATAAGATGGGAGGCACTTTAAAACTGAAGTGTCCATAGCATATGTCCAGTAGTCTAAAGCTGAGCTTGTCCACAGTCCCCCCACCCCTGGAGAGACCAGAGCCCATCAGCATCAGCAGAGGTCACCCTGTGCTCAAACTGAAGAGAGCGTCAGAGAAGAACGGCCCCATCAGCCACTACCACATTGTGGTGGTGCCCAAAGTAGGGCCACTCAGGTCTACATTTGACTACACCATAGAACAGGTGAGGATCTTTAGCTCATCTTGATGGATCTTTAACTCATCTTGATGGATCTTTAACTCATCTTGATGGATCTTTAACTCATCTTGATGGATCTTTAACTCATCTTGATGGATCTTTAACTCATCTTGATGGATCTTTAACTCATCTTGATGGATCTTTAACTCATCTAGATCATGCTGGATCTTTAACTCATCTAGATCTTGCTGGATCTCATAGCTATAGTCAACTAAACTCGTACATCAAACTTAATACAGCAGTCAAAGCATTGTTCAAATTGTACACATCTAACCAAATTGTCCTCACTCAGACTAAGATTTCTAAAAGACATCCCAGCCCCCTCACGTGATGTTACATCCCAGCCCCTCATGTGATGTGTTACATCCCAGCCCCTCATGTGATGTTACATCCCAGCCCCCTCATGTGATGTGTTACATCCCAGCCCCCTCATGTAATGTTACATCCCAGCCCCCTCACGTGATGTTACATCCCAGCCCCCTCACGTGATGTTACATCCCAGCCCCTCATGTGATGTGTTACATCCCAGCCCCTCATGTGATGTTACATCCCAGCCCCCTCATGTGATGTGTTACATCCCAGCCCCCTCATGTGATGTTACATCCCAGCCCCCTCATGTGATGTGTTACATCCCAGCCCCCTCATGTGATGTTACATCCCAGCCCCCTCATGTGATGTTACATCCCAGCCCCCTCACGTGATGTTACATCCCAGCCCCCTCACGTGATGTTACATCCCAGCCCCCTCACGTGATGTTACATCCCAGCCCCCTCATGTGATGTTACATCCCAGCCCCCTCATGTGATGTTACATCCCAGCCCCCTCGTGTGATGTGTTACATCCCAGCCCCCTCATGTGATGTGTTACATCCCAGCCCCCTCGTGTGATGTGTTACATCCCAGCCCCCTCATGTGATGTTACATCAAAGCCCCCCTCATGTGATGTTACATCAAAGCCCCCCTCATGTGATGTGTTACATCAAAGCCCCCCTCATGTGATGTGTTACATCAAAGCCCCCCTCATGTGATGTGTTACATCCCAGCCCCCTCGTGTGATGTGTTACATCCCAGCCCCCTCATGTGATGTTACATCCCAGCCCCCTCGTGTGATGTTACATCCTAGCCCCCTCGTGTAATGTGTTACATCCCAGCCCCCTCATGTGATGTGTTACATCCCAGCCCCCTCATGTGATGTTACATCCCAGCCCCCTCATGTGATGTTACATCCCAGCCCCCTCATGTGATGTGTTACATCCCAGCCCCCTCATGTGATGTGTTACATCCCAGCCCTCTCATGTGATGTGTTACATCCCAGCCCCCTCATGTGATGTGTTACATCCCAGCCCCCTCATGTGATGTTACATCCCAGCCCCCTCATGTGATGTGTTACATCCCAGCCCCCTCATGTGATGTGTTACATCCCAGCCCTCTCATGTGATGTGTTACATCCCAGCCCCTTCATGTGATGTGTTACATCATGTGATGTGTTACATCATGTGATGTGTTACATCATGTGATGTGTTACATCCTGTGATGTGTTACATCCTGTGATGTGTTACATCCTCAGCTGACCAAGGATAAACCTGACAACGACCAGCCTTACATCGCTGCCAGATTCGACTCCCAATCTCTGCCGTCTGAGTTTACGCTGGGCAATGGTCAGGAGTACGGCTCTTTCATGAACAAACCACTGTCTAAAGACAAAAATTACCAAGTCTTCCTACGGGCATATTCTGTGGACAACGTACGTCGCTACCTTGTACATATTGGAGAGGGAATTCTCTTTACTAGTTATTTTATTGTAGAAGTCAATATTAGGAAGTTGACATTGAGATGAATAACTTGGGTCTAATCCATGTCTGACTAATTGAAATTCCAGCGACTGTCCACATCCAGTGACTTCTCTGTTCCTGTTACCATCAACTCCACACCCCAGGGGCCAAACCCACCCAGCGGACCAACCAACAGTGATGCTGTTCCTGTCAATAAAGCTGATGAGGCTGACACCAATGCCTTGCTGACCATAGTCACACCCACCTGTGCTGGAGCTGTCATTGTCATTCTCATCTGTGCCCTCATCTGTTTCCTCTTCATGAGGTAATCTCTCATCTATCTCAGGTCTGACTCAATGACATGACTTATCTCAGGTCTGACTCAATGACATGACTTATCTCAGGTCTGACTCAATGACATGACTTATCTCAGGTCTGACTCAATGACATGACTTATCTCAGGTCTGACTCAATGACATGACTTATCTCAGGTCTGACTCAATGACATGACTTATCTCAGGTCTGACTCAATGACATGACTTATCTCAGGTCTGACTCAATGACATGACTTATCTCAGGTCTGACTCAATGACATGACTTATCTCAGGTCTGACTCAATGACATGACTTATCTCAGGTCTCACTCAATGACATGACTTATCTCAGGTCTGACTCAATGACATGACTTATCTCAGGTCTGATTGAATGACATGACTTATCTCAGGTCTCACTCAATGACATGACTTATCTCAGGTCTGACTCAATGACATGACTTATCTCAGGTCTGACTGAATAACATGACTTATCTCAGGTCTGACTCAATGACATGACTTATCTCAGGTCTGACTCAATGACATGACTTATCTCAGGTCTGACTCAATGACATGACTTATCACAGGTCTCACTCAATGACATGACTTATCTCAGGTCTGACTCAATGACATGACTTATCTCAGGTCTCACTCAATGACATGACTTATCTCAGGTCTGACTCAATGACATGACTTATCTCAGGTCTGACTGAATAACATGACTTATCTCAGGTCTGACTCAATGACATGACTTATCTCAGGTCTCACTCAATGACATGACTTATCTCAGGTCTGACTCAATGACATGACTTATCTCAGGTCTGACTGAATAACATGACTTATCTCAGGTCTGACTCAATGACATGACTTATCTCAGGTCTGACTCAATGACATGACTTATACTATGTAAAGCTTCACTAAAGTAGAAGTGTTTCTTGTATAGAGTCCTTTCATATGACGTCACGTCCGTTCGTGATACCTACGCCCGCCGCCACAGTGGTGTACACCAGACGTAAACACAATCAGCTGTTCGCCAGCGCTGGACGTGTTCACCAGCGCTGGACGCGTTCACAGTATGTAAAGAACCGCACCCGCGGAAAAGGAAAAATACGTTAAAAAACTTGAACTCTTAGGAATTGAAGATCCTTATACTGTTATTGACAGTTTCGTATAAATAAATATGTGGACAAAATTTCTAAATAAAAATACTGTTAGCGTTTAGAGTTAAAGTAGCCGAATCTGATCAAATGCAGTTCTCGATACTTTGTTTCAGGTAAGGACAGTAAAATAATAAACTTCATTTTAATTATAAAAGATAACTATTAATAAAACAAATATGCTCGACCTTCACAAATACTAATAGTAAAAGACAAAGTCAAAAGTAATAATAAGAATAATAAGATCTAATAGTAGGCCTAATACCTGGCTCCGCTGGGTAGACATAGAATCTAGAATCTACTTCTTTACTTAAATTTAATTACTTTAGATCTACATTCGATTCAAAATACACCCATAATAAATCAAAAGTAGTCATAATAGGCCTAATAAAGCATTTAATTGTCTCTAAGATCTAAAATCTCGCTCTATTATCTAATCATTTTTTTAGCAAACGAAATTTTCTGAAATTGAAATAGATTGTATGACTAGACTTAGATCTAGAATCTGCTACTTTAATTAAATTGTAAAAACTTTATACAAGCATGTAGTTGATATTATTGTAGTAGAAGGCTTTAATAAATTACTAAGGCCTACCTACTTTGTTGTCTTTTTACAGCAATATGTATCTGATACTGGACTGAGTTTAATTAAATTCAAATTCATATATAGTAATTGGTCTACTAAGTTTTTGTAGCCTAGTAGTACAATCTAGATCATACCAGCCAACAACAAATAACCACATTATTATTATTTGGTTAATGATTAGGCTAATTTTTTTTTTAAATCCACTGTTTATAAAAGAAACAAATCAAGCTAGAAACATTATAAGTGAGATGGTTTAGAATAATAACAATGGACCCAGTCTACAATTGATACAATTGCAGGTCTACATAGGGCCTACAGTCTAGTAGTTTACAGTAGGCACCTAGTGTGTAGCTAGTATACTAGTGTGTAGCTGTCCAGAGTTAAGATTCTTAATGCCTTAATGCTTTCCCCTGATAAGCCGTGTGTGCTATAAATGACATAACATGACACCAAGGTGAGAAGTGTTTAGGGGAGAGCAGTGGGACTTTCCCCTTTGTTCTCCCTGCTGGGCCCTGAGGGTCAAAATTATATAAGAAATACTATCTCTGTGGGGCTGGGTATCACGGAGGTGAGACATTTTCAGGGGAGGGCAGGGCAGACTCCTCTTAGGTTTTATTGTGGGCTAGATACAGGTGGGGGCAGCCATCATGAGGGTTGAACGTCAGTATTAATGTGGATTATAAGGGTCTAAAATTGTATAACATGCTACCCAGATTGGTTATTACCCATGGATTATATTAGCCGTTGTAGTGTGGGTTTTGTAGGAGTTAAGTGGTCTCACGTTTGCTACAGTAGATAACCTATAATATATTACTGCATTTGATCGGCTTCGTCTACTTAAACTCTAAACGCAAACGGTATTACTAACAGTATTTTTATTTAGAAATTTCGGCCACATATTTATATTATCCACGAAACTGTCAATAACTGTATAAGGATCTTCAATTCCTAAGAGCTCAAGTTTTTTAACATATTTTTCCTTTTCCGCGGGCGCGATTCTTTACATACGGTGAACACGTCCAGCGCTGGTGAACACGTCCAGCGCTGGCGAACAGCTGATTGTGTTTACGTCTGATGTACACCACTGTGGCGGCGGGCGTAGGTATCACGTGATTTAGGTCACGTGTTTGCAAGGACTCTATTGACCACTGTGTCCTGTATTGACCACTGTGTCCTGTATTGACCACTGTGTCCTGTATTGACCACTGTGTCCTGTATTGACCACTGTGTCCTGTATTGACCACTGTGTCCTGTATTGACCACTGTGTCCTGTATTGACCACTGTGTCCTGACCACTGTGTCCTGTATTGACCACAGAAAAAAGAATAAGTCTAAGGGCGACTTGATGGAGCCTGAGTCAAAAGCTCTGATGATTGAACCCGCCCCATTTTCTATTGACCCAGTTGAGATGAGACGCCAGCACTACCAGACCCCAGGTGAGATACACATTTCATCTACCTACTGAGATACACATTTCTTCTACCTACTGAGATACACATTTCTCCTACCTACTGAGATACACATTTCATCTACCTACTGAGATACACATTTCTCCTACCTACTGAGATACACATTTCTTCTACCTAATGAGATACACATTTCTTCTACCTACTGAGATACACATTTCTTCTACCTACTGAGATACACATTTCATCTACCTACTGAGATACACATTTCTCCTACCTACTGAGATACACATTTCTCCTACCTACTGAGATACACATTTCTCCTACCTACTGAGATACACATTTCTCCTACCTACTGAGATACACATTTCTCCTACCTACATAGTTGCTTTTTTACTGCTGCCACTATTTTACTTTAAAAATATTGACAATTTAATTAGCGGGAGAAGCCAGTAAGTAAATTAGTTATGTGTTTACAGCCATGATAAGCCACCCCCCAATCCCCACAGTAAGTAAATTAGTTATGTGTTTACAGCCATGATAAGCCACCCCCCAATCCCCACAGTAAGTAAATTAGTTATGTGTTTACAGCCATGATAAACCACCCCCCAATCCCCACAGTAAGTAAATTAGTTATGTGTTTACAGCCATGATAAGCCACCCCCCAATCCCCACAGTAAGTAAATTAGTTATGTGTTTACAGCCATGATAAGCCACCCCCCAATCCCCACAGTAAGTAAATTAGCTATGTGTTTACAGCCATGATAAGCCACCCCCCAATCCCCACAGTAAGTAAATTAGTTATGTGTAATTACAGCCATGATAAGCCACCCCCCAATCCCCACACTCAGTAAATTAGTTATGTGTAATTACAGCCATGATAAGCCACCCCCCAATCCCCATTGAGCGCCTGTCTGAGCACATGGACTCACTGAAGGCCAGCGACAACTTCAAGTTCTCCCAGGAGTACGAGAGCATTGAGCCAGGTCAGCAGTTCACCTGGGACAACTCCAATCTGGAGGTCAACAAACCCAAAAATAGATACGCCAATGTCATCGCTTACGACCACTCCCGTGTCATACTCCAGCCAATGGAAGGTGTTCCGGGCAGCGATTACATTAATGCTAATTACATGGATGGTTACAGGAAACAAAATGCTTACATAGCTACACAGGTTAGAGTTTTAAATATACTTACATGAACTCATTTGCTGCTGGCTGTATCTTAGTTAACTATTTTACACTTTTTCTCTTGTGACCTAAGTGATTGTTTGAAAAGTTGAAGATGCCACAAACTGTTTGACCAACATGTCATGTCCATTTCTTGACTCCCAGGGTCCACTGCCGGAAACATTTGGTGACTTCTGGAGGATGGTCTGGGAACAGAGGTCAGCTACAATTGTCATGATGACCAAACTGGAGGAGAGATCTAGGGTAGGTGCTCATCTCTATTAACATCAACATCTATCACAAGACTAGTGTCATATGTAGCTGTTGCTATGTTGAGATGTTCAGATAATGTTGAGATGGTCAGATAATGTTGAGATGGTCAGATAATGTTGAATTGGTCAGATAATGTTGAGTTGGTCAGATAATGTTGAGATGGTCAGATAATGTTGAATTGGTCAGATAATGTTGAGATGGTCAGATAATGTTGAGATGGTCAGATAATGTTGAGATGGTCAGATAATGTTGAGACGGTCAGATAATGTTGAGACGGTCAGATAATGTTGAGACGGTCAGATAATGTTGAATTGGTCAGATAATGTTGAGATGGTCAGATAATGTTGAGATGGTCAGATAATGTTGAGATGGTCAGATAATGTTGAGATGGTCAGATAATGTTGAGATGGTCAGATAATGTTGAGATGGTCAGATAATGTTGAGATGGTCAGATAATGTTGGGATGGTCAGATAATGTTGAGACGGTCAGATAATGTTCAGACAGTCAGATAATGTTTAGATGCTCAGATAATGTTGAGATGCTCAGATAATATTGAGTTGGTCAGATAATGTTGAGTTGGTCAGATAATGTTGAGATGGTCAGATAATGTTGAGATGGTCAGATAATGTTGGGATGGTCAGATAATGTTGAGACGGTCAGATAATGTTCAGACAGTCAGATAATGTTTAGATGCTCAGATAATGTTGAGATGCTCAGATAATATTGAGTTGGTCAGATAATGTTGAGTTGGTCAGATAATGTTGAGATGGTCAGATAATGTTGGGATGGTCAGATAATGTTGAGACGGTCAGATAATGTTCAGACAGTCAGATAATGTTGAGATGCTCAGATAATGTTGAGATGCTCAGATAATATTGAGTTGGTCAGATAATGTTGAGTTGGTCAGATAATGTTGAGATGGTCAGATAATGTTGAGATGGTCAGATAATGTTGGGATGGTCAGATAATGTTGAGACGGTCAGATAATGTTCAGACAGTCAGATAATGTTTAGATGCTCAGATAATGTTGAGATGCTCAGATAATATTGAGTTGGTCAGATAATGTTGAGTTGGTCAGATAATGTTGAGATGGTCAGATAATGTTGAGATGGTCAGATAATGTTGAGATGGTCAGATAATGTGTGTACTTCTCCAGATCAAATGTGACCAGTACTGGCCCTCCCGTGGAGCGGAGACCTACGGCCTAATGCACATCCAGCTGGTGGATGTGACAGAACTTGCCACCTACACCATTCGCACCTTCCACATGTCTCGGGTACATTTTTCATTTACAGCTAGTTTTACTTTTTTTTATTTACATCTAGTTTTACTTTTCTTTAAATTTACAGCTACTTTTACTTTTTTCATTTACAGCTACTTTTACTTTTTCATTTACAGCTACTTTTACTTTTTTCATTTACAGCTAGTTTTACTTCTTTTCATTTACAGCTAGTTTTACTTTTTTCATTTACAGCTAGTTTTACTTATTTCTTACAATTTTTTCTTTACTCACTAGCATTTACAAGTTTCCATTTTGTTTAATTTTCATCTAATCATATTTATAAACTGTAGGTTTTATTCTTCCCTATGTGTTTTCCAGTATGGTATATCAGAAAAAAGGGAAGTACGGCAGTTCCAGTTCACTGCCTGGCCTGACCATGGAGTACCTGACCACCCCACCCCACTGCTCATGTTCATGAGGAGGGTCAAGGCCAGCAACCCTCCAGACGCAGGATCCATCATTGTACACTGCAGGTCAGTTCTCTCCCTTGTCACTAAACATTGACCAACTGCCCTAAACATGGACCAACCTCAAGTTGCCTTCACGCTATATTGATAACTATTTCTACCAGATTTAGTTAATAAATAACTGAATATTTTTAAAATGTTTAAAATTTAACTTCCCCCCCCCCCCCCCCAACCCAAACCTCAGTGCTGGAGTGGGCAGGACTGGGGCGTTTATTGTTATAGATGCCATGCTGGAGCGCATCAAGCATGAGATGACCGTGGACATTTATGGTCATGTGACCTGCCTGCGGGCCCAGAGAAACTACATGGTGCAAACAGAGGACCAGTACATCTTCATCCACGACGCCCTGCTCGAAGCTGTCCAATGTGGCAACACTGAGGTCCCCGCCAGAAACCTGGCCGCTCATATACAGAAGCTGACGGCCCCAGAGCCAGGCCAGGCCATCACTGGGATGGAACTAGAGTTCAAGGTCAGTTTGTTGTGGTCCTTACCTGACATTTTGTCTAGCACTTGTTGTCCAGCACTTGTTGTCATGTATCTGACATTTTGTTTAGCACTTGTTGTCATTACCTGACATTTTGTCCAGCACTTGTTGTCATTACCTGACATTTTGTTTAGTCCAGCACTTGTTGTCCAGCACTTGTTGTCCAGCACTTGAACTTGTTGATGCTAATTCTTGCCTTTGTTTACCCAGAGACTGGCCAATGTCAAGGCCAGCCCCAACAGATTTGTCAGTGCAAACTTGGCTGTCAATAAATTTAAAAACAGGCTTGTCAATATTCTACCATGTAAGTTTATCTTATTGGCTTGTCAATATACTACCATGTAAGTTTATCTTATTGGCTTGTCAATATACTACCATGTAAGTTTATCTTATTTCTCACAGGAAAGGCTGCTATCATTTCAAGTTTGATCAAACTTTTGTTAATATTAATAATGTTCAGTTATAGTTTTCAAATAACTATAAATGTATTTAATCAACAAGATAATATTGTTTAAAATACTCAAACATTATTTAATCAACTAGAATTTTTGCAATGAAATAGTTTTAAAATAATTAAAAAAATTATTTAACCAACTAGATGAATTAGTTTTAAAATAATTAAAAAATTATTTATCTAATCACCTAGATGAATTAGTTTTAAAATAATTAAAAAATTATCTAATCACCTAGATGAATTAGTTTTAAAATAATTAAAAAAATATCTAATCACCTAGATGAATTAGTTTTAAAATAATAAAAAAATTATTTAACCAACTAGATGAATTAGTTTTAAAATAATTAAAAAATTATTTATCTAATCACCTAGATGAATTAGTTTTAAAATAATTAAAAAATTATCTAATCACCTCGATGAATTAGTTTTAAAATAATTAAAAAAATATCTAATCACCTAGATGAATTAGTTTTAAAATAATAAAAAAATTATCTAATCAACTAGATGAATTAGTTTTAAAATAATTAAAAAAATATCTAATCACCTAGATGAATTAGTTTTAAAATAATTAAAAAATTATCTAATCAACTAGATGAATTAGTTTTAAAATAATTAAAAAATTATTTATCTAATCACCTAGATGAATTAGTTTTAAAATAATTAAAAAATTATCTAATCACCTAGATGAATTAGTTTTAAAATAATTTTAAAAATATCTAATCAACTAGATGAATTAGTTTTAAAATAATTAAAAAAATATCTAATCACCTAGATGAATTAGTTTTAAAATAATAAAAAAATTATCTAATCAACTAGATGAATTAGTTTTAAAATAATTAAAAAATTATTTATCTAATCACCTAGATGAATTAGTTTTAAAATAATAAAAAAATTATCTAATCAACTTGATGAATTAGTTTTAAAATAATTAAAAAATTATTTATCTAATCACCTAGATGAATTAGTTTTAAAATAATTAAAAAATTATCTAATCAACTAGATGAATTAGTTTTAAAATAATTAAAAAAATATCTAATCACCTAGATGAATTAGTTTTAAAATAATAAAAAAATTATCTAATCAACTAGATGAATTAGTTTTAAAATAATTAAAAAATTATTTATCTAATCACCTAGATGAATTAGTTTTAAAATAATAAAAAAATTATCTAATCAACTAGATGAATTAGTTTTAAAATAATTAAAAAATTATTTATCTAATCACCTAGATGAATTAGTTTTAAAATAATTAAAAAATTATCTAATCACCTAGATGAATTAGTTTTAAAATAATTAAAAAAATATCTAATCACCTAGATGAATTAGTTTTAAAATAATAAAAAAATTATCTAATCAACTAGATGAATTAGTTTTAAAATAATTAAAAAAATATCTAATCACCTAGATGAATTAGTTTTAAAATAATAAAAAAATTATCTAATCAACTAGATGAATTAGTTTTAAAATAATTTAAAAATTATTTATCTAATCACCTAGATGAATTAGTTTTAAAATAATTAAAAAATTATCTAATCACCTAGATGAATTAGTTTTAAAATAATTTAAAAAATATCTAATCACCTAGATGAATTAGTTTTAAAATAATAAAAAAATTATTTAACCAACTAGATGAATTAGTTTTAAAATAATTAAAAAATTATTTATCTAATCACCTAGATGAATTAGTTTTAAAATAATTAAAAAATTATCTAATCACCTAGATGAATTAGTTTTAAAATAATTAAAAAAATATCTAATCACCTAGATGAATTAGTTTTAAAATAATAAAAAAATTATCTAATCAACTAGATGAATTAGTTTTAAAATAATTAAAAAATTATTTATCTAATCACCTAGATGAATTAGTTTTAAAATAATAAAAAAATTATCTAATCAACTAGATGAATTAGTTTTAAAATAATTAAAAAATTATTTATCTAATCACCTAGATGAATTAGTTTTAAAATAATTAAAAAATTATCTAATCACCTAGATGAATTAGTTTTAAAATAATTAAAAAAATATCTAATCACCTAGATGAATTAGTTTTAAAATAATAAAAAAATTATCTAATCAACTAGATGAATTAGTTTTAAAATAATTAAAAAAATATCTAATCACCTAGATGAATTAGTTTTAAAATAATAAAAAAATTATCTAATCAACTAGATGAATTAGTTTTAAAATAATTTAAAAATTATTTATCTAATCACCTAGATGAATTAGTTTTAAAATAATTAAAAAATTATCTAATCACCTAGATGAATTAGTTTTAAAATAATTTAAAAAATATCTAATCACCTAGATGAATTAGTTTTAAAATAATAAAAAAATTATTTAACCAACTAGATGAATTAGTTTTAAAATAATTAAAAAATTATTTATCTAATCACCTAGATGAATTAGTTTTAAAATAATTAAAAAATTATCTAATCACCTAGATGAATTAGTTTTAAAATAATTAAAAAAATATCTAATCACCTAGATGAATTAGTTTTAAAATAATAAAAAAATTATCTAATCAACTAGATGAATTAGTTTTAAAATAATTAAAAAAATATCTAATCACCTAGATGAATTAGTTTTAAAATAATTAAAAAATTATCTAATCAACTAGATGAATTAGTTTTAAAATAATTAAAAAATTATTTATCTAATCACCTAGATGAATTAGTTTTAAAATAATTAAAAAATTATCTAATCACCTAGATGAATTAGTTTTAAATAATTAAAAAAATATCTAATCAACTAGATGAATTAGTTTTAAAATAATTAAAAAATTATTTATCTAATCACCTAGATGAATTAGTTTTAAAATAATTAAAAAATTATCTAATCACCTAGATGAATTAGTTTTAAATAATTAAAAAAATATCTAATCACCTAGATGAATTAGTTTTAAAATAATAAAAAAATTATCTAATCAACTAGATGAATTAGTTTTAAAATAATTAAAAAAATATCTAATCACCTAGATGAATTAGTTTTAAAATAATAAAAAAATATCTAATCACCTAGATGAATTAGTTTTAAAATAATAAAAAAATTATCTAATCACCTAGATGAATTAGTTTTAAAATAATTAAAAAATTATTTATCTAATCACATAGATGAATTAGTTTTAAAATAATTAAAAAATTATTTATTTAATCACCTAGATGAATTAGTTTTAAAATAATTAAAAAATTATCTAATCACCTAGATGAAACAACAAGAGTCTGCCTGCAACCAATCAGAGGAGTGGATGGATCAGACTACATCAATGCCAGTTTTATAGATGTACGGTTGGATGTTGACATTTGTCTTTGTTAAATTAAATAAATGACAAACAACTGACTGTATTTCTCGAGGGCTGACTAACAAACTGACTAGTTCTTGAGGCTACCAACTGACTGTATTGAGGCTACCAACTGACTGTATTGAGGCTACCAACTGACTGTATTGAGGCTACCAACTGACTGTATTGAGGCTACCAACTGACTGTATTGAGGCTACCAACTGACTGTATTGAGGCTATCAACTGACTGTATTGAGGCTACCAACTGACTGTATTGAGGCTACCAACTAATTGACTGTATTGAGGCTACCAACTGACTGTATTGAGGCTATCAACTGACTGTATTGAGGCTACCAACTGACTGTATTGAGGCTACCAACTAATTGACTGTATTGAGGCTACCAACTGACTGTATTGAGGCTACCAACTGACTGTATTGAGGCTACCAATTGACTGTATTGAGGCTACCAACTGACTGTATTGAGGCTACCAACTGACTGTATTGAGGCTACCAATTGACTGTATTGAGGCTACCAACTGACTGTATTGAGGCTACCAACTGACTGTATTGAGGCTACCAATTGACTGTATTGAGGCTACCAACTGACTGTATTGAGGCTACCAACTGACTGTATTGAGGCTACCAATTGACTGTATTGAGGCTACCAACCAACTGACTGTATTGAGGCTACCAACTGACTGTATTGAGGCTACCAACCAACTGACTGTATTGAGGCTACCAACTGACTGTATTGAGGCTACCTACCAACTGACTGTATTGAGGCTACCAACCAACTGACTGTATTGAGGCTACCAACCAACTGACTGTATTGAGGCTACCAACCAACTGACTGTGTTGAGGCTACCAACCAACTGACTGTGTTGAGGCTACCAACCAATTGACTGTATTGAGGCTACCAACCAACTGACTGTATTGAGGCTACCAACTGACTGTATTGAGGCTACCAACCAACTGACTGTATTGAGGCTACCAACTGACTGTATTGAGGCTACCAACCAACTGACTGTATTGAGGCTACCAACCAACTGACTGTATTGAGGCTACCAACTGACTGTGTTGAGGCTACCAACCAATTGACTGTATTGAGGCTACCAACCAACTGACTGTATTGAGGCTACCAACTGACTGTATTGAGGCTACCAACCAACTGACTGTATTGAGGCTACCAACTGACTGTATTGAGGCTACCAACCAACTGACTGTGTTGAGGCTACCAACCAATTGACTGTGTTGAGGCTACCAACCAATTGACTGTATTGAGGCTACCAACCAACTGACTGTATTGAGGCTACCAACTGACTGTATTGAGGCTACCAACCAACTGACTGTATTGAGGCTACCAACTGACTGTATTGAGGCTACCAACCAACTGACTGTATTGAGGCTACCAACCAACTGACTGTATTGAGGCTACCAACCAACTGACTGTATTAAGGCTACCAACCAACTGACTGTATTGAGGCTACCAACCAACTGACTGTATTGAGGCTACCAACCAACTGACTGTATTGAGGCTACCAACCAACTGACTGTATTGAGGCTACCAACTGACTGTATTGAGGCTACCAACCAACTGACTGTATTGAGGCTACCAACCAACTGACTGTATTGAGGCTACCAACCAACTGACTGTATTGAGGCTACCAACCAATTGACTGTATTGAGGCTACCAATTGACTGTATTGAGGCTACCAACTGACTGTATTGAGGCTACCAACTGACTGTATTGAGGCTACCAACCAACTGACTGTATTGAGGCTACCAACTGACTGTATTGAGGCTACCAACTGACTGTGTTGAGGCTACCAACTGACTGTATTGAGGCTACCAACCAACTGACTGTATTGAGGCTACCAACTGATTCTTGTACCCACTGTTTCAGGGCTACCGTTACAAAAAGGCGTACATCGCCACCCAGGGCCCACTGGCTGAAACAACGGAGGACTTCTGGAGGATGTTGTGGGAACACAACTCCACCATCATTGTCATGCTCACCAAGCTGCGGGAGATGGGGCGGGTTAGTTGGACTCACACACACTCACTCACTCCCTCACAACTCACTCACAACTCTCACACACACTCACTCACACACTCACAACTCACTCACAACACACTCACTCACAACACACTTTTCTCTGTTGAATTTTCCTGAATTCAACTTGTGTATCAAATATATGTTCCGTTTTACTAATAAAAAAAAACTATTCCTCATTAGGAAAAATGTCACCAGTACTGGCCAAGTGAACGGTCAGCAAGATACCAGTACTTTGTTGTTGACCCCATGACAGAGTACAACATGCCACAGTACATTCTCAGAGAGTTCAAGGTCACAGATGCAAGGGTAGGTTCTTTTCAGTGCTACTGGTTGTAGGTCAGTGCACCAATTGTAGGTTGATGTCTACTTTCAATAAGAAACTGGTCTCTTCTTTTGTGAAATTTCCAGTTTTTTAGCACAAGGTGCAATAACACGGTCCATGAACCATGGGCAGCCTACCCTAATGGGCAGCCTAGCCTAATGGGCAGCCTAGCCTAATGGGCAGCCTAGCCTAATGGGCAGCCTAGCCTAATGGGCAGCCTAGCCTAATGGGCAGCCTAGCCTAATGGGCAGCCTAGCCTAATGGGCAGCCTACCCTGGGAGGGGCTGATGATAGAACGTAGATGTTTTGTTGATGTTTGTTTGGTGTTTGTTTGATGTCTGTGTTTTCATAAGCAACTCTCTACTGCACAGGATGGTCAGTCGCGGACAATTCGCCAGTTCCAGTTCACTGACTGGCCTGAACAAGGAGTGCCCAAGTCTGGGGAGGGCTTCATTGATTTTATTGGCCAGGTGCATAAAACAAAGGAACAGTTTGGTCAGGAGGGTCCAATATCTGTACACTGCAGGTCAGTACTCACAGCAAGGTACTTGCTAATTAATGCTTCATCAAGGGCAGCTCATGCTTGCTAATTAATGCTTCTACTCAAGATTTATTTATCCACACAATTAATTCATAATCAGTACACTAATTCATAATCCCAAAAGTTATCCATAATCACAATAATAACCCATAATGACATGAAATAGACAAATACAAGGATCCACAATGTGATCCAACTAATCCACAATGTGATCCGACTAATCCACAATGTGATCCGACTAATCCACAATGTGATCCGACTATGTTTTGTCTGTCTGCCAGTGCTGGAGTTGGACGTACAGGTGTGTTCATCACACTCAGCATTGTCCTGGAGAGGATGAGGTACGAGGGGGTGGTGGACATGTTCCAGACTGTCAAGATGCTCAGGACCCAGCGACCTGCTATGGTTCAGACAGAGGTCAGTTTTTTCTTGCTATGGTTCAGACAGAGGTCAGTTTTTTCTTGCTATGGTTCAGACAGAGGTCAGTTTTTTCTTGCTATGGTTCAGACAGAGGTCAGTTTTTTCTTGCTATGGTTCAGACAGAGGTCAGTTTTTTCTTGCTATGGTTCAGACAGAGGTCAGTTTTTTCTTGCTATGGTTCAGACAGAGGTCAGTTTTTTCTTTCTATGGGTCAGACAGAGGTCAGTTTTTTCTTCTATGGGGATCAGGACTTTACTTTCTATGGGGATCAGGACTTTCTACTGGGGATTGGGAATACTCTTTATATTGGGGGTTAGGGTGAAATCACCAGTTTTCTGTTTCTATTATCAGTGATTTAAGTCAGTGATTAAAAATAACAGGTGTATTTGAATATTTACTATTATGATGGACTTCAAAGAAAACTAGGGACCCTTACAGCACAGAAATTGTTACAACATAAAAATTGTTACAACACAGAAATTATCTTCAAAACAAAGTGTTGATTACTTACATTCAAATTTTGATGATCATTTAGTTTTATGTGAATCATATTTATTAAATGACTATTTTTATGATCTTTCAATTAGCTCAGTGTTTATCTTAATTACCAAATTCCTGATGATGATGTAATTAGTTCTATGACTGACTTTCCACAGGATCAATTCCAGTTCTGCTACCGTGCTGCTCTGGAGTACCTGGGATCATTTGATCATTATGCTAATTAATTTCTGGTGCCCGCTACAAGTCTCCAGTGGGCTTGTGTTTACCTGAGGAAACTTTAAGCCCATGTTTTATCTGTGAATTCTTTGTGGATTTATTTTCTCTACACTGGATTGAAGATTTCATATTTAGCAGTGCTAAATTTAGATTGAGTTTTTTTTGTTACGCCCCAAGGGGCCAGTGACTCATTTTGGATTCTGCATTTGACAGTGGATTAGAGGCAATGTCATTTGACAGTGGATTAGAGGCAATGTCATTTGACAGTGGATTGGATTAGGGGCAATGTCATTTGACAGTGGATTAGAGGCAATGTCATTTGACAGTGGATTGGATTAGGGGCAATGTCATTTGACAGTGGATTAGAGGCAATGTCATTTGACAGTGGATTAGAGGCAATGTCATTTGACAGTGGATTGGATTAGGGGCAATGTCATTTGACAGTGGATTAGAGGCAATGTCATTTGACAGTGGATTAGAGGCAATGTCATTTGACAGTGGATTAGGGGCAATGTCATTTGACAATGGATTGGATTAAGGGCAATGTCATTGATGGAGTGTAGTCAAGAGGTTTTGTGGATCCAGTCAGGATAAAAATGAGCCACTGGATATCACAAGGCCTGGCTGATACAGTGCTAGACATTCTGTGGAGCTAATTCCCTACTGGTTGAGTGACTTGACAAAGTTGGATATAACTCTACTCTACTTTTTACATACATTTTATCATGGTGATTCTGTTGGATGTAAGTCAAGCAGCCAGAGCTAGCGATAGACCTGGGCCCACTACAGGGGACCCAGTGAGGTGGGCCTGCTACAGGGGACAGCACTGAAACTTTTATCCATGATGTCTCAATCCAAAGTTTTTAGCTTTTCCTTTCTTTGGTCGAAGCATGTCTGTCCATTGAGTATTGTGGATTCAAGCATTTGATGAAAATATTTATCACTGTGTACAGTTGTCTGTTTTTGTTTTCAAACTGTTGGGAGAACATTAAATCTTTTCTCAAGTTCATGGTGTCAAGATGTCACTAAAGATGTTTTTCTAAGGCTTTGATTCAGCTGTAACTTTATATTAAGGCCACAAGACTGGGGAGAAAAATTTGTTTCCAAACTCATTTTAATTGAAGTAACATTAATACTTGAAAGAACTAGAGATATACTACAAATTCCAAATTGAAGATGTTAAAATTGGGAAAGCACTCTTATTGTAAATTTATAAATAAAAGTAAATATTTTTTGTGTGTGCATATGATAGCCCTTTAGCTACATTAACAAATATCTCTCATCAAGAAAAAACTGATCAATATGATATATATCAATTATTGTATGGTGAATCTTTTCTTCTCTTTCAAACTTGATGACAACAAACAATTTTTCTATCTCAGTGTTTTCATTATTCCCCCCCCCCCCCCCCCCAACCAAGAGGGTAGAGTAGTGGAGTAATTTATTCAAGTGTTTCAAATTCTTCACTCAGCTTCAGATGAAAAAATTAAATTAAGAACTAAAAGTTGGCAAACCTACTCCCTTCCCCCCACCCCTCTTAAACCTAAACAGAACTTAATGATTGAATGTGTGGATGTACGTACAAGTTAGTAAATATATCCAATGTATTTCAGAGATGTGCAATATCATTCAGTTCCAAGTTGGCTATTCTTAAGTTAACCCTCAATTAGTTATAAATACTGTATTAGTCATCAAGTAGCTACTTGTACTTATAAAAACATTTCTGTCCACGTGATGAAAGCAGGAGTTTTCCTTTTGTCTTACTTTTAATTTATGGTGCATGAATGTTGGACTCCAGTGCTAGTGCACATTTTTTATTGTGTTGTGGAATACTGCACTGCACTTTATTTTAGGAAACTTTCCCTTCTAGGTTCCAACAACATACAGGTTCAGTCGTTTGTCTTTTAGAATTCTAAAAACAATTTTGTCAGAAAAGTGGATCTTTTATTTGAAGCTCAAGATATGACCATTTTTATTTGGATCCTCATGTGCAGTTTGAAATTTGCTTTTATTTTCATGAACTACTCTCTTTAAGAATTGCTATTTTAATCTGCATATAAACATGCTTGAAATGGTCATTAACATAATGAATGTACACAATCAACCCTGACCAAGCCCACACCAAGAATTGCAATGCAATCTCATTTTTTTCTCTCACTTAATTTGCTGCTTGTTTCATGGGCAGACAACACTGACAGGAGTTTGATGTCACTTTTGAAAAAATCTTCTTGAACAAAGGACACATTTGGTGTTGTCATTTAGAAGTGGGTTCAATAAAAAAAACTGGGATCATATGATCAATAGACTTGTGGGCTTCTCTGCCATCATCTGTCTTTATATTCCACCTTATTCATGAATGGCCAGTTTACTTTAATGACAAAAAATCAAATCTTTTTAGAAAATATCACTATTAATCAGTCCATTATTGATCAAAATATTTTTTGCTAAATTTGAGGGGCGCAAAGTACTTTTGGTAACAAATTTTAGTCTGTTGAGCTGTATATCAAATATTGTTCAATGAATTTTTTACTTGTTTTTGTATATTGAAGAAATTTTGTTACCATTAAATAATGTATTCATGTTTAATGTCACCATTTTTCTAGTCATGTGACCACATTCAGCTGCGCCCAAATGTATCATTTGCTGGCACTATCACTAGACAGTACAGAAATCACATTGTAATGGCCCTGTTGCTAGCACAGAAATCACATTCTAATGGCCCTGTTGCTAGCACAGAAATCACATTCTAATGGCCCTGTTGCTAGCACAGAAATCACATTCTAATGGCCCTGTTGCTAGCACAGAAATCACATTCTAATGGCCCTGTTGCTAGCACAGAAATCACATTCTAATGGCCCTGTTGCTAGCACAGAAATCACATTGTAATGGCCCAGTTGCTAGCACAGAAATCACATTCTAATGGCCCTGTTGCTAGCACAGAAATCACACTCTAATGGCCCTGTTGCTAGCACAGAAATCACATTCTAATGGCCCTGTTGCTAGCACAGAAATCACATTCTAATGGCCCTGTTGCTAGCTAGCACAGAAATCACATTCTAATGGCAATGTAGCTAGCACAGAAATCACATTCTAATGGCCCTGTTGCTAGCACAGAAATCACACTCTAATGGCCCTGTTGCTAGCACAGAAATCACATTGTAATGGCCCTGTTGCTAGCACAGAAATCACATTCTAATGGCCCTGTTGCTAGCTAGCACAGAAATGTGGCCAAAGATGTAAGCACAGTATAAAATGTGGCCAGCAGACAGTGAATCAGTATCAAATGGCCATCATGCAAGCAGAATACAGTTGTTATTCTTAGCAGTGAAACGATTGGTTAAATAAGAACTCGTGCATATTCAGTTTGATAAAAAAAAACAATTTTTTTTATTTTATTTTTGTGGCCAGTAGAATGGTCAAAACTGTGACCAAATTTTGTTTACTGTACGAAGCAAGAAGTAGGCCAGTTTAATTTGGGCAACATATCTTGACAGTTGTCGTTAGACCAGTTGTCACTAGGTCAGTTGTCATTTACATTTTTTCTCATTGTCATGTAAAGTAGCTCCAGATCAATTCTGGATGATTTTTTTTGTTTTCTAATGATATTTTTTGTACCATTTAATTACACATCCATTGATTGATGTTGTCATCACATGCTGGGCTGCTTGCGTATGATTGGTTTATTTATTTATCTCTATCTCTGTGTATACTATTTATAACTCTGACTTGATCTTCTAAGAAAGTATTCATGAAGTTTTCATCTAGTAATATGTGGTGACCAAACATGTGGTGACCAAACATGTGGTGACCAAGTGTGTGGTGACCAAACATGTGGTGACCAAACAGATGGTGACCAAGTGTGTGGTGACCAAACATGTGGTGACCAAACATGTGGTGACCAAACATGTGGTGACCAAACATGTGGTGACCAAACATGTGGTGACCAAACATGTGGTGACCAAACATGTGGTGACCAAACATGTGGTGACCAAACATGTGGTGACCAAACGTGTGGTGACCAAGTGTGTGGTGACCAAGTGTGTGGTGACCAAACATGTGGTAACCAAACATGTGGTCACCAAACATGTTGAGGACCCCAATATTAGCTCTCACAGATCAACATGAAAGCCACACATTATTTTTATTGTATGATGCTATTAGAATAGACAATGTACCTTCCATATGCTTTGTGGTAAGTGTTGTTATGGTTTTTCTAAATGTGTTTTTGCTACAAATCATTGGCGCTAGAGATTTAAACACCCCACTGAGGACCAATAGAACATATTTTGCATAATTGTCAGTTTCATTTGAGTTGTATTCTACGTCAGGAATCTTGTGGTATTTTTATTGTTAAACACATCAAGTCAGAAGCAGGATCTGTGTAAAGTTCATGAGATCAAATTGTGGGTCAAGCTAATACGCTTTTGATTTAGCTGTTGACTGACATGTTTGGTGACCCGTAGGTGACCCCTACAGTAGGTGACCCCTGTTTTATTTGAGGGTGACCCTTGTATTTAGACCAAGAGTGAGTTAGCAGAAGCTCAATTAGAAAGTAGAAACCAAAGAGGCAGTAGTCAGCACATTTCATCCCTTCAGTGGCTTATCAAGCCATCAATTTTGTTTCATTATCCCATTCAAATCATTGAATTAACCAAGTCAGCTATTTATCATTGTTTGATGTATTAACACCTGCTAGGAGTGGTAAGTCTGTTCTACTTAAGCCAGTCCTGGTTGTGGCCCTTGTTTCTCTTGGCTTGTCCCAGTAATCTCAAGGTTGTTTTTTTTCCAGTCAGAGATTTTCAGCCATCTTTGGTTCTCTCTACTCCATGTCAGAGGTCTCCAGATATTCTATAACTTTGGTTGTCAGGGTCCCCAGATATTCTATCTTTGGTTTTCTCTACTAAATGAGTCTTGCCAGAGCTGTTTCAAACAAAACTCAGATTTTTTAAAGTTCATCTCCTTGTGTACCTTGAAGCCAGTGAACCAGTTTATTTGTTTCTTCATCACCCCGGCTGGTTGGTGCTCATTACATTTTCAGTTTATTCGAGTGAAAGTTTTGGCGTAGTAGTCGCCACGTCCGACTGATTGACTCATTCATTTCAATAATAAATATAATTCATGATAAAAAAAACTGTGTTGTTTTATTTTCAATTTAATGTTTTTGATTGTGAAGAGTTTCCATTTCTTAAGAACAAAGTTAGTTGCCAGCTAGACAGAAATTTTTTTTTATGACATCAAAATTGTTGTAAGGGAAAAAATCTATGGCTAACAGGAAAGATGGGTCAGATATCTGACCATCTCCACTGAACATGGCCAAGGGTACTCACCCACCATGTCAGGAGTTTACTGTCCAGTGCTGATGGCACAATCTGAATGGGTTTTAAACAAGTAGGATCATTATAATAAGGTTCAATCTTTGGACATTCAAAGGCTTGTCAAAATCTTGTATTCATATAATCAACATCATATTCTATATGAAGAATCTACATCAGTAGTTTTTGTACATGTATTAATTTCTTTCATCAAATAGAGATTTATCCGGCAATAACATGTTATTGAAATTTTTATATTTTAACAAAACTGCTATTTAACCAACATTTATTACAGCAAATTAACCTAACAAAAATATTAATTAACTACAAACTTAATAGTTACTGGAAATTTTTAAACAAAATTGCTATTTAATTAACAAACAATGACTGGAACCAAACATCATTGCTGTATGATCACATTTCTGGAAAATAAAGAGGTTGATTTAAGAAACGAGAATCTCTTGCAAGCATCTATTATTTTTTTTATGATGAGGTCCAATGTTGAATTAAAACACCAAGTTGAGAGAACAAATCTTGTAAAAAAAAGATATTTTGTATTCATGTACTAGAAGTCACCTGTTTAACACCTCTTGGTATCTGAAGAATGAAACGTATGAAATATACATTAGAAGTCTATATAAAACATTATTTTAAACCAATGAAATATACATTAGAAGTCTATATAAAACATTATTTTAAACCAATGAAATATACAACAGAAGTCTATATAAAAAATTTTTAAACCAATGAAATGTATACATCAGAAGTCTATATACAACATACTATTTTAAACATATTACATATACATCAGCTCTATAAAACATAACATTTTTGTTATCTGTTGACTATCCCTGTAAAATAACTACCAAAACAGTATTGAAGTGCTCTGACTATTCAATGGCTACTTGAAATCAAAAATGTTTAACAATAATTTGAAAAAAAACAAAAAAAATGTAGCTACGACTATTTGAAAACCACCATAAACATAGAAGCGCCCCATAAAACTATCTGTAGTTTATAAAATTTGTAATTGATTTAAATGTTTGACTTTTCTGTAAGATACATACCATAGTTGTATGATACATACCATGGTTGTATGATAGGGCCTATACACATACTTAAGTCATATGATACATACCATAGTTGTATGGTACATAACAAAGTTGTATGATAGGTCCTACATACATGATGATACATACCAAAGTAACAAAGTCCATTATCACAATCAGGGTTGGTGGGGCCACACAAACTACACTGACCGGCACTTGTACGCTGGTAGGGTTGTTCGGTCAGGACATTCCCTCTGGAGAGTGTACATGTGGTAGTTGAGTGCGTACGTGTGGGGGGAGGGGTAAAGTAAATATTAGTGTACCTACAGGCTTAGGTTAAGAGAAATAAAATAAACATTATTGTCCTTGTGCCTGTTGTATTTTTCCCTCAATGGGCCAATTATCTAAAAATAGACCATTAGTGATTGGTAGCACTTAAATGTTGTAACGAGTTTCCTTGTATTTTCTTTCTTCTGAGATCATAGCAACACGCTGCTACTACGTGCTGCTAGTACGCCAGTATTGCATAAAAGTGCTGTACTTACGGTGGGTAATAATAGCAAGCCATGAACCAAGCATTTGTATAGACAATTTCTCCGGTCAGTGTGGCACATTTTTTCATAGCACAGCCCACATACTCAGTTCTGGCCCACACAAGCTGAAGCACAGGAGATTTTTTTTTTTTCATAGAGGCCTATATGCCAGCTAAAGTTTAGAGGCTTATATGCCAGCTAAAGTTTAGAGGCTTATATGCCAGATAAAGTTTAGAGGCTTATATGCCATATAAAGTTTAGAGGCTTATATGCCAGATAAAGTTTAGAGGCTTATATGCCATATAAAGTTTAGAGGCTTATATGCCAGCTAAAGTTTAGAGGCTTATATGCCAGATAAAGTTTAGAGGCTTATATGCCATATAAAGTTTAGAGGCTTATATGCCAGATAAAGTTTAGAGGCTTATATGCCATATAAAGTTTAGAGGCTTATATGCCAGATAAAGTTTAGAGGCCTATATGCCATATATCATATAAAGTTTAGAGGCCTATATGCCAGATAAAGTTTAGAGGCCTATATGCCATATAAAGTTTAGAGGCTTATATGCCAGATAAAGTTTAGAGGCCTATATGCCAGATAAAGTTTAGAGGCCTATATGCCAGATAAAGTTTAGAGGCCTATATGCCATATAAAGTTTAGAGGCTCATATGCCAGATAAAGTTTAGAGGCCTATATGCCAGATAAAGTTTAGAGGCCTATATGCCAGATAAAGTTTAGAGGCCTATATGCCAGCTAAAGTTTAGAGGCTTATATGCCAGCTAAAGTTTAGAGGCTTATATGCCAGATAAAGTTTAGAGGCTTATATGCCATATAAAGTTTAGAGGCTTATATGCCAGATAAAGTTTAGAGGCCTATATGCCATATATCATATAAAGTTTAGAGGCCTATATGCCAGATAAAGTTTAGAGGCCTATATGCCATATAAAGTTTAGAGGCTTATATGCCAGATAAAGTTTAGAGGCCTATATGCCAGATAAAGTTTAGAGGCCTATATGCCAGATAAAGTTTAGAGGCCTATATGCCATATAAAGTTTAGAGGCTCATATGCCAGTTAAAGTTTAGAGGCCTATATGCCAGATAAAGTTAACAAATGGGGGGAGGGGGGGGGGGGGTTAAACAACTTGTGTAAAATACAAGAAATGGGAAGCAATCAGTTTGTGTGACAGTATAATTAGAAGATAACTAACTTGTATACAAAAATAGTAGGTAACAAACTTATGTGAAATACAATCTATGGGAGGTAACTAACTTGTGTGAAATACAATCTATGGGAAGTAACTTACTTGAGTGAAATTTTAAAAATGGGAGGCAACTAACTTGTACAAAATACAAGAAATGGGCGGCAACTAACTTGTGTGAAATGACAACATGTCTTCTTTGTCTCTGAGCAGCAGTCCACATACCCCGAGGGACTTTGTTTGATGTTGTAGTGCTCCAGATGCCAGGCCTGCATGCCGCCGAAGATGGTGTCCAGGGGAGTGATGGCGTCGGTGCTGCGGTACAGGTTCTCTCCCCATGACGAGTTCTCCTGGTGTCGGAAATCACATTTCTCCGTGTGGTTGGCGGCATACGCCTCCAGTAATGGCGACCAATCCTTGAGACACAGGAGAGGAAAACATAAAAACTCGCAACCACGGCAGTAGAAATCCTTTCATGACAGCATCTTACATTACGTGGTTTCACCCAAACTAGGTCTGCTTATAGGTGGCATACTGTGAGCCTTTTTAGTGAAACTGGAAGCAAGCGGGATTTAGTTAGGGTGTGTGTGTGTGTGATCACACTGTCAAGGTACATGTAGGTACCTGACTCCAGCTCACCTCCACTCCCCCCCCCCGTACCTTGCCTTTCATATCAATATTAGGCCAGCAACATAAGACGTAATGGTATAAGAGCTTATCATTCCTATGATGATATAGATTTTTCTAATCTCAATTTTAACGATACCTAATAAATGTATAAAAAGAAAATTTTGTAACGTTTCTTGGAATTCCCTATTAAAATAAAAGTTCACACGCGTCCGCGTGGAACATGTCAATTCTATTACATGTCGTGTCCCCCCGCCCCCCCCCCCCCCCCCTCCTCCCGTGGACGTACGTCATAAGTGGATGAACCCTAACGTAATATCAAACTGCCAAAATTTTCGGGCTCCAATTAAAGGGAAGGAAATCTAGATTGAAAACTACATAGTTTAGAGTTGCTCTTACCTCCCTTGAAACTACAGCGGAAAAATACACATACACAAACATATTGAATATTTTAATGTTTGGTCACTGGTAGCTTCTTTAAAAAGGAAGAAGGACATTCAGGCTGACACACAAACAGGAAGACGGACAAGCAGGTTGACAGGCAGACAGACAGGCAGGCAGAAAGACGAGCAGACAGGTAACAGACGACATGCAGGTAGACAGACAGGAAGACTGGCAGGCAGACAGGAAGACGGGCAGACAGACATACAGACGCACCAGTTTGTTCATATCTCCAGCCTCGTATTCGTCCTGCCTGTACTCGTTGTTGAGGGTCAACATTTGGGCTCTCAGCTGCTCATCGAACCCGCTCTCTGTTGTCATGACGACACTGGCCGTGGGGTCAAGGGTCGACTGGGCTTCTGACTGACACGTTAGGACCAGGCTAAGCACAATCTGGACCAGACTCATCAACGCCATGTTTTATGGACTGGATAATTTATTCCGGCGGCATAGATTTTATGACGGAGTAGAAGAAAAGATTTATATATAGTCTACATATATAATAATGTGTATGTATAATTGTCAGTATCTTGATAAGTCATGACAGTAGTTTAGAATAAGCTTCAAATACCGTATGGTCGATTCTGTTTTTAAAGATCGAATGTGTTGATAGCACTGAGGATTAGTGTCTGGTTCAAAAAGAAGTGTGATTAAAGAAGTAGTGTTGAACTAGTGTAACCTAGAGAGAAACTCACCTTGATATCGCTAGTCACTGTGACGGTTATAGAAACTCACCTTGATATCGCTCGTCAGGATGACGGTCCCACAATGCTGGTACACCTGTTGGCTCACCCGCCCATATACCTGCCACACTGGCTATAGGGTATCACGTGATCTCTGCAGCTTACCAGTGCTCCATAAGTTATCAGCGGGGGGGGGGGGACGACGACACGATCCTAACCCCCCTCCCCCTGCATACACAACACCCAACACCAGCCATGTCTTTGTGATTAAGTGAGTGGCCTCCCTTATAATAAAGTTCTCTCATACTGCCCAAGGGGATAGGTTTATACATTGTCGTCAACAACTGTTTAATGGCTTCCACACTCAACAAATATATGGCCATAAGATGGCCTCGCTTCAAATGTTATTCTCAACCTCAATATATGGCCATAAGATGGCCTCGCTTCAAATGTTATTCTCAACCTCAATATATGGCCATAAGATGGCCTCGTTTCAAATGTTATTCTCAACCTCAAAATATGGCCATAAGATGGCCTCGCTTCAAATGTTATTCTCAACCTCAATATATGGCCATAAGAGGTGGCCTCGCTTCAAATGTTCTTCTACCCATCTCGCTTGTACCGGTTGTCCCATCCTAATGTGTAGCCTAGTCGGAGTTTTTGGTACAGTTCAAAAGTTGGGTCCGTCATGTTTCTTTACACAACATATTTTAGCTCGTCATACATTTGACAAGATGTATTTTTAAATGACACATTATAGATAATTTATTCTTCATACAATTTTACATTAGTTATAGCTACATTTTGGATCATTTATTTCAATTTGTGACACATCACATGATACACGTATACTAAATTACTTTTACGCCTTCTTGCTGCCGTAGGGTGATTAAGCTAACAGGAAACTGATAGGTTTTTGGCTCAAATGAGCAGATCAATCACTCACGTGACAGGTAATAATAAAGTTTGACAAAGCTGTTGTTTAATAGATCCAGGGGAAGTAACTATACCATTGGCCAACCCTGTAGAAAACAAACTCCAACCAAACTAGTCCCCCCATAAATAAGCAAGGTAGTTCATCTTGCCAGTTTAGCAGCTCGAGGTTCCCTATATTTAAATATGTAATCGAATGACAATGTTATTGTAATCTACACAAAAGTTAACTAGACCTTGCTTCTCATCTGTCCACTGACAAATCAGCTGTTTGTCAGCTTTATGACTGACATTTTCTACTGGCAGTCAGTGGACTACATTTGTCAAAGATAAACTTCTAAAAGGAATTGTAAAAACCTGGGTTATCTACCATACAACAAGGTACAAGTCAGCTGGTCAAGGGGGACAACTTGCTATTGATGACCAGTGTTTATTCAGTAGCTAACATTCTTTTATTCTCACTTACATGAAAATACATTAAAATCAATTAATTAACTTACAATAAATAATAATTGCACTTTTAAAATTATTGCATTCAATGACAATAAAATGTAATCAATTAAATGAACTCATCTCAAATATATTATTTCTCTGTTTCTAAAACTTACATTTAAAAAATTTAAAATTAGTTCATCAAGCTGCATTAAATTAATTAAAAGCTTTACAATAAAATACATAAACCAACACATGTAAAAGAAAAACTTTACCATAACCAGATATCCAGTGTATGAAAGCCCATATATAAAAAATGTAACAAGACAAGCTGCTCCAGAAAGATCCAGAAAATTCTGGCACAACAAAGTATGTTGGGAAATATTCAGGGGTCGTGTTAGTTTCAAGTCATGAACAACAGCATAATTTAAGTTACAATAACTTACAATTTACCTGCTGTACTATTTAAATCACGTATTGACATTTACATGAACATATAAAGTACACGCTCACTCTTTCAGCTATTCATTAGCAGGGGTCACTGACAGAACCCTACCACTGCAGGGGTCACAGACAGGACACTTCCACTGCAGGGGTCACTGACAGAACCCGACCACTCCAGGGGTCACTGACAACATAAACCACTCCAGGGGTCACTGAACCCTACCACTACAGGGGTCACTGAACCCTACCACTACAGGGGTCACTGAACCCTACCACTACAGGGGTCACTAACATGAACCATTGCAGGGGTCACTGACAACATAAACCACTACAGAGGTCACTAAACCCTACCACTGAAATGATGTGAGAAGGAATGACAGGAGGATAAAACAAATCTAGTTTTATCAAAACTTTAAAAAAATTGAGGGTTATTTTGGTCTAACCTTCAAAGTTAATCTCAAAAAAGCCAGTTATTTTGGCCTGATCTTATATCCTAAAGAAGCCGGTTATTTTGGCCTGATCTTATATCCTAAAGAAGCCGGTTATTTTGATCTGATCTTATATCCTAAAGAAGCCGGTTATTTTGATCTGATCTTATATCCTAAAGAAGCCGGTTATTTTGATCTGATCTTATATCCTAAAGAAGTCGGTTATTTTGGCCTGATCTTATATCCTAAAGAAGCTGGTTATTTTGGCCTGATCTTATATCCTAAAGAAGCCGGTTATTTTGATCTGATCTTATATCCTAAAGAAGCCGGTTATTTTGGCCTTATCTTATATCCTAAAGAAGCCGGTTATTTTGGCCTGATCTTATATCCTAAAGAAGCCGGTTATTTTGGCCTGACCTTTGACCTGAGGCAAAAGGCGTCTCCGACATGACTTAGATGACTTCCCCTGTTGGTGACCAGCTCTGGATGACTTTGGGGAGTCAGTCAACACGAGCGTCTGCTGACAGGGCAGCTTCGCCTTGCTTGCATCCTGTCCAGGGTAGAGAGTCAGGTTTTCCTGATCTTTGGAGGAGACAATACATCGTTTACTTCCCTTGGCATTGCGTACAACAACCGAGCTGGTGGTGGTTTCTCGAAGGCTTGTTGTGGTAACGTGATCAGGGCGTGGATGTGCGATGGTCTTGCTGCAAAATTTGCATGAGCTCGTTAGCAATAAACAATAACATTTTGTCTGAAACAAACATGGGGAGACAACTACCAAACTTGGGGGATTACCTAGGGAGACAACTACCAAATGTGGATGTGAATTACCTGGGGATAACATCCACAGAGCTTAGTGTCCCTTGTGACAGCACTGCATCTTGATCAGCATCAATGTACAGAGCAGCAGACACCTGGGTTAGATATAACATCCTTGACCTTACAAGTGTTACACAACATCCTTGACCTTACAAGTGTTACACAACATCCTTGACCTTACAAGTGTTACACAACATCCTTGACCTTACAAAAATTATACATACAATAGTAAACCGTTTATGTTTTGGCCAGACAAATACAAAAAAAACTTACCACTGCCTTCTTTGGTCCTCTAGGTTTGGTGGAGACACTGTTCACTTCACTGGGTGCTTCTTCTTCTGTGTCCATAATGGCTGGTGATCTACACAGCACATAAAGCTTTTATGTCATGTTCATATACACACCATAACACAAAGCTTTTACATCATGTTCACATATACACCAAAACAAGGCTTTCACATCATGTTTACATACACACCACAACACAAAGCTTTTACGTCATGTTCACATATACACCACAACACAAAGCTTTTACGTCATGTTCACATACACACCATAACACAAAGCTTTTACATCATGTTCACATATACACCACAACACAAAGCTTTTACGTCATGTTCACATACACACCATAACACAAAGCTTTTACATCATGTTCACATATACACCACAACACAAAGCTTTTACGTCATGTTCACATATACACCACAACACTTAAGGCTTTCAAGTCATGTACACATACCTTAAAAAGCCCACAAACTGGCAGTACACACAAGAAAGAAGTTACCTGAACTGTGTCAGCAGACAAGGAATGCGTGTGGGGGTCTGAGAGGAGAACCTGATGTCCGACATCATCTGCTGGTCTAGATGGGAGCTGACCACGGCTGTCTGGTCCAGGTAAGACTGTAAGACACAGGTACATCTGCGGCCAGACATGCTCCCTCCACTACTGACAGGCTGGGGGAAAGACAGAATTCTTAAGTCATGACTAGCTATTGATAATAGACACACAACCCCCTCTGTTATATTTCTTATTTACTGCATGTTTACAGACATTTTTAAAAAGTTAAATTATAGCCTAGAACAGCTGTTCCTCTAAATGACATACCTTATCTGGACTTCCCTGTTCAGCAGTGTTACGTCGCTGTATGATGTCAGTGAGTATGTTGTATGTCCTCTCTGACACTGGCTCAACAAGGTTACGGAGAAATTTTCCACTCTTGCACCTAACTAAATTTGTTTTTATGATCTGTATAATTCTCCTGCATGCCATGCTGCAAACAAAATGTATAACAGACAGTTAGCAACACAAATATTGGATACAAACTCAATCACAAGCATCCACATAGATTTAACATCAACTCTCACACCAGCTAGACTCAAATTTCAGCAGTACCTGAGGTCTGTTACTTCCTCAACAATAGTCTGTAGCTTTTGGGTCAAGTCTAGGAGTGACCCGAGGCCTTTAACATAGGCCAGAAGAGGACTGTCTGTTGCTGGGGCGTATCCACTGCCCCCCAGGTGTATCCTCAGCATGTAGGATGACAGGGTCTGAAAAAATGAGAAAACAAGAGTTAAAGAGCTTTGATGAACACTGTAATCAGGGTCCTACTAAGTTAACAGACTAAACTTTGGACAACAATTTTATTCAGTAAAAAACTGTAAAGAATTTTGGTAATACTTTATAAACAATTTTTTCAAAAATGTTGTATCACCTTTTTCAACAAAGTGGATGTTTTTATACAAAATTGGATGTCATAGCACTTACATGTTACCATGACAAGCCAAGTGTCACATCACTCACTAGATACAATGACAAGCCAAATGTCACATCACTCACCTGATACAATGACAAGCCAAATGTCACATCACTCACCTGATACAATGACAGGCCAAATGTCACATTACTCACCTGATACAATGACAAGCCAAATGTCACATCACTCACCTGATACAATGACAAGCCAAATGTCACATCACTCACCTGATACAATGACAGGCCAAATGTCACATTACTCACCTGATACAATGACAAGCCAAATGTCACATCACTCACCTGATACAATGACAAGCCAAATGTCACATCACTCACCTGATACAATGTCAGGCCAAATGTCACATCACTCACCTGATACAATGACAAGCCAAATGTCACATCACTCACCTGATACAATGACAGGTCAAATGTCACATCACTCACCTGACACAATGACAGGCCAAATGTCACACCACTCACCTGATACAATGACAGGCCTGTACTCTGAGCCTCATGTTTGAGGTGAGTGAAAGCCGTGATATCTAAACCTCTTTCTGGAATGTTGAACACCCTGGCTAGAGCAAGCTGACTTCGAGAGTTGACCAGTAAGTGTAAGTAGGACCGGAAAATGTCCTCAATCAAAATCTGAGACAAAATTTTTAGTGTTAGTAGGGCCAGAAAATGTCCTCAATCAAAATGTGAAATGATTGCTAAACCGAAAAGCCAAGAGTTCAAACCACCGAGCAGATAAGGCTCGATAGCTGGGAACAGCAACCCATCTAGGAGAGACAACTCCAAAATCAAACAGCTGCTGCCTTGTAGTTTTTCTTGATTTGACATAGGTTATAGAATCAAATCCAGAAAGAAAAACAGGCTGAAATCTGGCACATAAAAGGTTGACATCTTTTGTGTTGGAGGAAATCCCATCCAACATTACAGTTAAGAACCAAGAAGAAGAAAATCTTAAAATTTTTGACAGTTTATGGGGTATACCTAAAGCCTACAGTAACTTATAATTTTAACTTAAAGGCCTGGGAGATTATTAGCACTGATTAAAGTTACCTTCTGCAGTTCCTTCCTCTCACACTGGGGGTAGGGGGTGGTGGGGGAGACACCTGGCACTTGCTGACTTTCTTCACCTCTTGCTGTTGTTAGAACACTGGGTGTTGATGGTGTATGCCCTGTGGTCTGAGAACCTTCACACAGAACTGTGGGTGTTGATGGTATATGCCCTACCATCTGAGCTTCTTCACAAACATGGTCTATAGTTTCTGGATCTGTCTCACCCTTATAGGCTTGCTTCAGTATTTCAATGACCTTAAGCTGGTTACAGATCACAGAAAGTTAGCTCAGGCTAAAGAATCAGTTTCAACACTATAAATTATCTCAGGCTAAAGAATCAGTATCAACACTATAAATTATCTCAGGCTAAAGAATCAGTATCAACACTATAAATATCTCAGGCTAAAGAATCAGTATCAACACTATAAATATCTCAGGCTAAAGAGTCAGTATCAACACTATAAATTATCTTAGGCTAAAGAATCAGTTTCAACACTATAAATTATCTCAGGCTAAAGAGTCAGTATCAACACTATAAATTATCTTAGGCTAAAGAACTTAACATCAGAAATATAAATTATCTTAGGCTAAAGAACTTAACATTAACACTATAAATTATCTCAGGCTAAAGAACTTAACAATTACACTAACTTAGCTCAAGCTACAGAATTCAGTACTGTAAAGAAGAAGTAACCAGCTACCTGCAGAGAGCTGAAGTCATCTACATCTGGTTTCAACATCAACACCTGTCTGTTGCTGCTCAGTGACACATACAGCTCAGACTTGGGGTCAGCCAGAGCTTTTAGGAAACTGAGAAAAGTGTCTGCAAGTGACCAGTGATTGCTCGTGGTTTTGTATTCTTGGTACAACACAGAAACCTGGCTCATAAGCTGGCCGTCTTCTTCAAAACAAGGCTCACTTGTAGCCTGGATAGTTTTTTTCATTCTTACATCAGTAGTTTCCACACTCTTCTTAATAAATTGTATTTGCTCCTCAATCTTGTGACAATCAGATGATTTTATATAGTCTAAAATTGTGAGAACATCTTTAGGGTCTGCATCAAATTCTTCATTTTTCTGGGTAAAGGTTAAAAGTAAAGGTTACGGTCAGAGAAAACAAAATGACTTGTATAAGAGAATGTGAAAACATCAGAATACAAGCTTATATTATTATGCTACTAAAATTTGAGAAACATTAGACAACTTCCTAGGAATTACCAGTTTATTGTAGCAGGCCAGGCAATACTGCACAATTTGCATCTCATCAGCTTGACTAATGAGAGTTGTTCGTTCATTAGGAAACAGGCTAAATTTTCTACACTGCTCTATAGTAAACAACATCAAAGGCACTTGCTGTTTTTCTGCCATCATCTGTATAGTTTTATTAAAACAATTTTTAAAATTTTAAATTTTATTACAATAAAATAGAAATTATAAAATTAAAACATTGTCAATGAATATTTAAATTCTATGATTCTAGATCAGTGGTTCCTAACATGGTAAATATTTACATTCACCAAACCCTTCTTAATAGGAAAAATAAAACACGTTTTTCAAATTCAAAAAATAAGTAGGCCTATATATTATGCTGGAGCACAAAATTAACTATGCACCAACATCACTGTGTTCAAAGAACAAAAACATTCATATCTGACTTTCTCACAAAACAAAATGAATATTTACTGCAAATCAATGTGACTTATGCTGTTGCATTTCAGACACCAATCAGAGATGCGCAGCCAGTTGTGCTCTTGGATTTTCCATCTCCGTGCTGCTTAGTTTTGTAGATGCTAGACTAGAATTGCTCAACTTTGCTCTTGGCATTGCAAATCATGCAGCAAGGATGCTGACTCACATCAAATTCTGTGTTGCATGAGAATCATTATTGAACTTGTTCGTCCGACCACTTTCTTTTTTTTGCTCAACATAGTTAATATGAAGCTATTAAGAAAGAGATCACACAACGTACCATCCCGACCGTGATAAGTCGAACACTGGGACATGACAGATAAATAAAATGTATGTTTGTCACAGCACGTATAGTCTGTATAGAACATATACACGATCAATAGGTAAAACCTTAGTTAAGCGTCGGTTATTATTCCGGAATCGTATAGCAGTAAAAAACAGTAAAACAATGCCAAAGTCTGTCACACACTTCCGGAATTCACCGGAAGTACTGTAAACCATACTTTATTTGGCGTCATCTTTTATTTTTATACAGAATGTTTAAAATTTTGATAGATTTATTTTTGTAATCATTTTCACATTTTGTAAACATTTTTACTATTTTCGTAATCTAGATTTTTTTACTTTGCCTAGCAGCTAGATATCTAGCTAGATCTAGATCTAATTAAATAATGGTCGCAAATCCGCTGCAAGCCAAAAACATTAAATTATTACATTTGACTTCATTATTTATATTAATAGGCCTATATGTTTTTTTTTTTTATTTTTAGATCTACTAATTTAAATCTACTATTATATTTATTCTTGTTTCCTTTTGTCGATTAAACTTAAAAATTAAAACATTAATTTACTACAATCGACTTTCAATTTATTTATATTTCAATGGTCAAATAAACCATGGTTTACCATAACTCTAGTTACCGAAACTCAACAAACATTACCCGATAATTTCCGACGCTAAACTAAGGTTTTACCCGATCAATATGCACTTGTACAGGTGGCGTTGGCATGATTTGAGACATATATACTATAGATAGTATATAGTATAGTATAATAGTATATTTAAGTATATAGATCTATGTCTTGACATCACGGGTTCCAGATAGAGAAATATCAGGATATGGGATAGGTGTTATCTGGCTTTGGCATACTTTTTTATTTATTACTATGTTCAGTATGTTGAGCTGTTGTATTTGAACTGTCATTGGCCATGGCCGCTAGTTTTATTGACCGCACTGACACTCTAATCTGCAAAGCCCTGAGGCTCTGAGCCCTGAGAATATGAGTAGATTATGAGATTTCTCAATGACCCCAAAAAAGGGTTCGATTGAGGTTAAGAACCACTGTTCTAGAATCTAGATCTAGACTAGATTTGTAGATAGATTTTAATAAAATGCTAAAATTACTATATTCTATTAACTTACTTAATACTTATAGATCTAGATCTACTTATAGAGTTAAGAGATGTTGAGATTTAGAAATCTAGGTTTAACAATTTTTATAATTTAAATATTATGCGATTTCGTTCCAGCTGTTTATATAAAAACTACAACTCAAAGTTGATCTGTAATAAGAAAAAAAAAGGCCTACGAATTACGAAGCATCCTAAAAATAAAATTTAAATATTCATAGAAATTCGTTTGATTGTTTTAAAATAATTATGTTTAAACTAAGACTTGATAATATCTAGATCTATAACTAGACTAGTCTTTAGAACAGATCATAGATCTACTAGATCTAGATCTAGATCTAATGCCTGCTAAGATCAACCTAACTAAAAATAAAAAGCACTAGCAAAACTGGAGAACATTGGATTGACCTTTCAACTTTAGTTTACAAGTTCGAAGATCAAAGGTCATAGTAGTCATATTTCAGCAACCTAGACCAGCTAATGTACTAGTCAGTAGACTTTTTAGTGGACCATTATTTAATTATTATTTATTAAACCTAGGCCCCTGTTTTTAAATAATAAAGTTTAGTTTAGTTTAGGACTTAAGTAAAAAGTCTAAAAGGTCAGCTTCAAATGGAATCATTAAAAGGAAAAGTCATTACAGGTTAATTAATAATTATATATTATATTTTTATTAGGAATATTATATAGGCCTACCCCTAGGCCCTATTCATTAATTAACTTACTAGATCTAGTACTTAATCTTGTTATCAAATCAGTTATCTTTAGCTAAAAAATTAAATTAAAAATAATCTTCCATTGTCTTTGGAAAGTGTCTGGAAGTAAGATTAGTAAGAACAGCATTGTTGCATTATATTTATAAATATAAGTGGGTCAAAATGAAGTAACAATAATTGCACTAACACATTGATTGACAGTATGAGTATAAGCTTTTTAAAGAAATAGTATCTGTGCTTGCTAATGTACAAAAGTATTGATATTAAATGATGATGCCATTAAAATTAAATTCTTTTTAAAAATATTTGGACAAAATATTTATTGAGAAATGGTAGACCATAAGCAGCTGGTAAAGTTTTAATGAGTTAGTACTCTTCCTGCAAAGCAATGACTGAAAGTTCTGAAACAGAAAAATATCAGTACTTAGAGCCAGAGGCGTAGCTAGGGGAGGGCGGGGAGGGCGGCCGCCCCGGGCGCCGACCCTAGGGGGGCGCCAAAAGGGGTAGAAAAAAAATTAAAAGCTCATTTTAAGATGCAATTTTGAATTATAAACAGTCAAAGTAAAGAAATGTCTACCTTTGTTGTGTAACTGTAAAACGTATATCTTTAAGAAACAGTGACCGGAAAAACCGCTTTCCAGCTTTACTAGATGGGGAGGGGGGGCGCTTTTTCGAACACTAAAATCGGAAAAATTCACACCGGATTAAGGAATAAACCGATATCACCCAGAAAAGAAACCCATTGAACTGAAGCGTATTTTACGATTGTGTAACATAAAAACGAGTTAGCAGACTGTCGGAGCGGGTGGATGGGAACAGAATTTCTTCCAGGCATCTCTTCGGGGGGGCAAAGCCCCCCCGAAAATTTTTTACCGCCCCCCCCCCCCCCCCCCCCCCCCGAACGAAATGAAACTTATATAATTTATATAGAAAATATATACTTTTAACAGTGTCCGCCCCCCCCCCCCAAAGAAAGTTTACCGCCCCCCCCCCCCCTCCCCCGAAAATTTCAAGTGCCCCCCCGGAGAAAAAAGTCTGGAAGAAACACTGGATGGGAAGCGACACTCTTTGCCAAAATTTTAAGAGAGAAGAAAATTAGTATATTGTACTGATTATTACTTTGTTCAACCTAACTATTAATTCAAAATTGCAATAAGGCTTGCACCTTCTACAAAATACACTCTAAAGCAGTGGTTCTTAACTTTTTGGAGTACCGAACCCAACCAGTTTCATATGCGCAATCACCGAACCCTCCTTAATAGTTGTATCGTCCACATCGACAAAATCCGATCGTGAATCCTATGAGTCGGGTGTGTGTCTTGACCTCCGCAGAAGCCTTGAGACTGCATTACCAAACCTCTCGGGTTCGATGGAGCCCACTGTTCTAAGTTCTTTTGATTTTCTACTTTTTATTCGTTTCGGCATCTTAAAGTGAAATTTAATTGGCGTCCAGTGAAGTTTTAGGGAATGACAATCAGCGTAATTGTTAATTTTTTTCCAGACTGTCACTCACACAAACACAGACGCATATATATATATATATATATATATATATATATATATATATATATATATATATATATATATATATATATATATATATGTATATATATATATGTATATATATATATGTATATATATATATGTATATATATATATGTATATATATGTATATATATATATGTATATATATGTATATATATATATGTATATATGTATATGTATATATATATATGTATATATATATATGTATATATATATATATATGTATATATATATATATATGTATATATATATACATATGTATATATATATATATATGTATATATATATATATATATATATATATATATATATATATATATATATATATATATATATATATATATATATATATATATATATATATATATATATATATATATATATATATATGGGGGGGGCGCCAAACTGAAAGTTCGCCCCGGGCGCTGGGAGGGGTCGCTACGCCTCTGCTTAGAGCAGGCATTGTCAATAATTTTACCTATGTCAAACCGATCCCTGCTTACACTAACCTTTGTAAAGAAAACTTTCCTTTTTTTGTTTCTAGTTCAAGGTTTAAGAGAAGCTTCAGATCTTGGTGTCACATTGACCCATGAACATTTGACCATTCAAATTCCTTCCTTCTACACGCCACCAAAAGAAAAGCTTGCTGAGAAGTTGAAAGATGTTGCTTTTGAAATGCAATATTTAGGCTGGATCAGACAAAATCCGTAAGTCCACAACTAACTACAAACATTTAGTTATTCCAAATTAAAGAGTTTGGAATCCGCCAATTGTTTTAATTGTCAGATATAATTATAATATTTACCTCTAAAACATCCAAAGGCAAAATTAGGAATTTTAAAAATGGATGCCAACTTCAATGTGTTCTTGGTTTACATTAGGTAAATCACCACTCTACTTCAGTGATGGCTGCTAGTTTATACCAACCATATGACCATGCTGTGCATCCCAAGGAATGCTGACCCTACTTCGACACCAGAGGTTGATCCATAGCTGACCCTCCCGGCCATGACAGACTTTATATGCCAGAGGATCCAAGAAAGAAACATGTGGTGTGCTTATCATCTTATGTGTCATGGAAATAAAAAACACATACTCAACAATCAAGCAGATTTAGTGTTTATCCATACACAAACCATTGCTGAAGTACAACCCCACAATCACCACTGACAACAATTACCACGTGGTAAAACAAAGTAAATTTCTTAGATATTGCTATTTATATTTATATTAGCTACTGACCTTAAATTTTGTTTCAGATACACTCACATAGCCAACTTAACTTTAGAAGGGGAGTATGATGCTATCAAAGAGGAACTTTTGTTTTTTAAAGTAGGGAATTTTTTTTTCTTTTTTAAGTTAATGTAATTTTCTAACTTTTGTAGATCATTTTAAATTTGTTTCTATCATCCAAGGAAAACGGTGGGCAAACAATTGTTGAAAATACAACATTGGGAATTTCTCCAAATCTACCATACTTAAGAAATCTGTCTGAATCAACTGGTATAAATATAATCTGCGGAACAGGTAAGATAATTGTTAAGACCAGAGACAGTGTTGGTTTTTGTCATTTTAAAATAGATAATTCAATAAACTTGTTTTCTTTCAATATTCTCAACGAAATACATTGCAAAACAATTATTCATTCATCACTTTAAATACTTTAATAACTATTATTATACTTAGATCTTTAAGTCCTATCTTAACTGTTTGTCCATATATAAATTATTGTAAGACTGTAATACAAATTGAGTAATTGACTTGGAATGTAATGTTTCCTCCTAGTCCTACCTTGTTACTGTAGGTTTCTATGTGGATGCAGCACAAACTGACACTGTCCTGAACTTAAGTGAGGAGACCATGGCCGAATCAATGAGGCGTGACATACTAGAGGGTAGAGAAGGCATTCGGAGTGGAATGATTGGAGAGATTGGCACGTCTTGGCCTGTTACAGGTAGATCTGGAAACTTGTGAAACCCCAGTTAGTGTTGTAATTATAATTCTAAACAATGAGTACTTAATAGATCATTGTTCCAGATTTTGAAAAAAAATCTCTGAGAAGTAGTGCTGCTGTTCAGGAAGATCTAGGATGCCCTGTGATAATCCATCCTGGCAGAAATCCTCAAGCACCTGGTGAGGTACTGAGGATACTGCTAGAAGCTGGGGGTAAAGCCCAGAACACAGTCATGTCGCATTTAGATCGTAAGTTGGGGCAGTCATTTTATTTTGTCACATTTAGGATGCCTTATTTTTAAGCAATAATAACCATATATCATTTAAATGAACTTATTTGTGTTAGTTGTAGCCTCCCTTGTTTGTAGCGGGGTATCAATCTGTTTTCTTTTTACCATTTGTCAAATGTTATTTTACTTATAGTTATAGTATAAAGCTGTTTGTTTAAAATCATTATCATAACAAATGTTTTAGTCACAATAAACTAGGCTTTGCGTTTTTCCTAAATGGCTTACATAAATTTGAAATTATTTGCTTTTTTTTTTTTCAAATATTAAAGTTTATGAAACTACTTAACAAACAGAAACAATCTATACAGTATACAGATATACACATTTAAAGCAAAGTAAATACGATTCATTTTCATAATAGTTAGTACCTAAAATTTTCAACTCTTCCCAGGGACAATCTTCAATAAATCAACATTACTGGAGTTTGCAGAGCTAGGCTCATATTTAGAATATGATCTGTTTGGGATTGAGGTGTCACATTACCAACTTCAGGAAACGGTTGATATGCCCAGTGATGCCCAGCGTGTGCAGACAATAAAGGCACTGTTGGATGAAGGGTATGAGGACAGGGTAGTCGTCAGCCATGATATTCATACCAAGCATAGACTGGTGAGTGTCACTGGGGTGGAAGGTGCTGTGGGAACTGTAGAGCTTGCTTGACAAAGGACTGCTAGAACAAGGGAACTGGTGGGTTCTACTTGACATGGGACTGGTGCAATAAAACTGATGGGGTCACATGGACAGATAACAAATATTCTTTCCATTCATATTTATTTTCATTATTTTCCAGATGAAGTATGGTGGTCATGGCTATTCTCATATCTTGCTCAATGTGGTACCAACAATGCTTAAAAGGGGGATAACTCAACATCAAGTTGACAAGATTTTGAAACATAACCCACACAACTGGCTGAAATTTTTTAAGTAGTCTGTAATTGTCTGATAAGAAAAATTCATGTATTACTATTTTACATTATAAATTCATTATTTGTTTAATTTTAGGTTAAATTCACTTTTCAAGCTAATAGTTGATCATCAACTCACGGGTGTTGTGAATTATCATTTTATACAAGCAAATCAATTATTTTATATTATATCAAGAATGCATTTTTCTAGTCTCTTAATTATAGTAATATTTTAATTGTGATTTCTCTATTATTTGTCTTACTTATATACCTTGTTTGATGTTCAAACTTCATGTCCAAATTTTTTATTTTAATTGACAGTGATATACACTTATTGTCAATTGATTTATAAATAAAACTTGAGCAACTTTTTTTTGTGTATTTTAAAAATTAAATAGTCAATGCATCTTTTTATATATAGAACTAGAAAACAAAACAGAGGTGGTAATAATAATAAAACATTTTAAAATATGCCAGTCTAGACTTGAGTGGGACATAACTCTTGTTCTACTAATGCTTTGCAATATAACTATTATTATAATATAACTATCTATTCTAAATTCATAAAAATTCTATCTAGCAAAACAATTGCTTCAAACCTAATGTTTTTTATCACAATTGCATGCGTTTATTCTACAAATGCTTTAAGTAAGCAGTACATTTATTATCAATCAGTATTAATCAGAACAATGAATAAATCATCTTTTCCTGTTCATCCCCAAGAAACACTGGGTAGATGCAGTAGAGTTTGTCTGTTTTAATTACCTCAGCATATGAAGTGATAGTATGGGCAGCACATGAGTCAGGTAACCATCAGAGCTGGGTGGACTCTACAGACTTGAATTAATGACCAAAACTTGAGATTTAGGAATAATAAATACTTATTGCATTTTAAATCACTAAGCAAATTTAATTTTACCCCAAAATGTTATGTGCTATTCTAAGTTCTTTACTGAAACAGAGTGATTAAATTGGAAATGGGACGTGAAGTTCAATTTATATACATTAAAAAATTATACAATGCTATTTTTAAATGTATTTTTAAACAGATGGTGCATGTTTTATTAAAATTTACATTTGGAGACAAATAAAATTATTTTATTAGTCATTTTTCTGTTGTTACCTATTTTAATAATGATTTTACTTCTTTTCTAATCCATTTATTTAAGCATGAAGCAATCTACCTAGAAAAGTGATACTATGACTACTTGGTATTTAATATAATCTGAGGATGTAGGTGCAGGTTCCACCTAAAATTGCAATTGAGTAAAGGTTTAAAGCAGAAACATTCAGTATGCAGCTCTTATTCAACAGATTTTTCCTGAGTGCTGGATTACCTTCAAAGTGACTATATGTGAAATCACTATTATGCAATGTGTAATAAACCAATTGGTGATATGTGTTTTAAATACACTTATCTAAAAAAAAAATGATAATTATGTACTTGAAATTATCTTTTTAATCAAATGAGCAAAAACATTGTATCACTATATGAAAGAAAAAAGCCAATTTACAAATATTTATAAATTCAAGTTAATTCTTTAATGAGCATTTTAAAAAAATAGTTTGATATTTACAAGTTGTTTCCTTTCAAAACTGTTTGACCAAACTTATCTTGCTAGTTACACAATTTGAAAACATATCTAAAAACCTGCATTACATAAATTCAAATCAAAGAGGCACAATTAATGGTTAATAATAGTGAAACAGTCTAGCAAACATGTTAAAACTGGTTGATATTCTCTTGTCAACATTGAATTGAGTTACTTTTTTTTGTTAGATATTTATACATATTGACCATGAATTAAAACTATTACAATACTACAATAAAAGCTATAGAAAGTAACAATAAAATAACAGCTTGACATGAGCAATATCATGTCTGCAGAGTAATATGGGGGCTTTTTGTTGTTTGATAATACAATACATAAATATCAGTATATAATTATTCTTATAATAATCTTATAAAATAAAGAATCAGTATGACATTATTTTTAAACAGTGTTTCATGATTTTTTTTTATGTTGTCAGTACCTTAATAAAGCTTAAAAAATAAAAGTACACTTGATTCTTTGCCGCTGTTTTATTTTACCAGAACTATGACAATATTAAACATGATTAATTGATTATGCATTTTAAGGAGAATTATCCCATTGCATATGTTTATTCCCAATACTATGGGCACAGTGGGTTTGTCCTAAATCTGGATAACTCATGTTTATCTTGAGGTAAGTGTTCTGCAGTTTGTTTATAAACACATGTGAATGAAGGCAGTAGTTTCTCTCCAGTGCTCATGCATATCTTTTTTTGGCCATAATTATATTATATACCTGTTGCAGTTCAGTAACAAAAATCGTACATGCTCATATAATTGTCAATCCTCTTATGCTAATTGTGACAAAGTGACAGGTTTTGATTTTTTTTAATTAGTCAGCCTGTGATTGTGGTACAGCAATTTGTTTTCAAATAAATGTTATAATATTATAGCCTCTTTTAGACTAGAGTTACTAAACTGTAGTTGACAAACAGGTATATGAAAGTTGTACTCAGTACAAACCTACATAATAATTTCATTTTCATTTTGCCTTTACATTTAATTTACAAGAATAGAAGGCCAGAGGCCTAAAATAAAAAGTAAAATTTGGATCACAAGCTTCTTCTTTACTTCATTTAATATATATTGTCTAGTATTAACTTCTAGGTGGTCGAAGTTTTTCCTTAAGTTTAATAAACAATTTCTTGTTCCCTTCATTTTCGAATTCTTTAAGGCTTTGCTCTGACAATGCTGAGTTTAAATCATTGTACGTTGACCCTGTCGCGTTTGAATCCACGGCTCTCGCCCATCTTTTTCTGCTGAGGTCATTGACAAGTTTCTGAAGACTGACGTAAGTAACATCACATTCTGCTTCGTTGATTGTTGAAGCCTCGCCTTTTGGAAACTTTTCTAATATCCTTTTTCTAATAAGCAACCCGAGATCTCGGTTTCCTATAGATTTGTCCAGAGGCCACTGCTCAAAAAGATGCAGAAAATTTCTATACCTGGAGGCGGCCATTTTGGTAATCAGAGAAAGATAACTCTAAAGTACGAGCTAAAATTAAACACACGTCATAATCTTTTCCTGTCAATGCCCAGGACATATGGGGCTATCACAGAAAGTTCTTTACACCTCTGTCAGAGTTTCTTCCACGCATCCTTTCGGCCCCATGTGACCACCCATGTAGTAGTAGTGACCACCCATGTAACAGTAGTGACCACCCATGTAACAGTAGTGACCACCCATGTAACAGTGGTGACCACCGTGTAGCAGTAGTGACCACCCATGTAACAGTAGTGACCACCCATGTAGCAGTGGTGACCACCCATGTAACAGTGGTGACCACCCATGTAACAATGGTGACCACCCATGTAACAATGGTGACCACCCATGTAACAGTGGTGACCACCCAAGTAGTAGTAGTGACCACCCATGTAACAATGGTGACCACCCATGTAACAATGGTGACCACCCATGTAACAATGGTGACCACCCATGTAACAGTGCTGACCAACCAAGTAGTAGTAGTGACCACTCATGTAACAATGGTGACCACCCATGTAGTAGTAGTGACCATCCATGTAACAGTGGTGACCACCCATGTAACAGTTGTGACCACCCATGTAACAATGGTGACCACCCATGTAACAATGGTGACCACCCATGTAGTAGTGACCACCCATGTAACAGTTGTGACCACCCATGTAACAGTGGTGACCACCCATGTAACAGTGGTGACCACCCATGTAACAGTGGTGACTATCCATCGAACTTTGCAAGTAGTCGTGGACTTGTGACTACTGATCGTTACATCAGATTCGAAGGATCCTTAACCATCGATTAGGGCGTTTTATCAATCTTGTAAAATATGGCTAATGATTTCCTGTTTTAAATATTTTAAATATTCCCATCTAATTTTTTTTTTCATATTGGTCTTATAGTAATTTCAATAATTTTGAATAGAAAATAACGAGAGCTAATACATAATTAGTTTTTTTTTCTTTCCACTCAAATACATATAGAGTTAAGTCGTTTTAAGGAAAATAACACAACAGCACCGATGTAACTGTACTATTATAATACCGAAAAGCCATTGTTTATTTCTATGACTAATGAAAAAAAATCTGTTACTCATTCCCTTATTATCCCCGACACATTTTTCAAACAGAAAAGAAAAACAAAGACGTTTTACAAAACCGAATAGTTTTAAGAAAAAACTTCCAATCCTTGCAATGAAAAAAAAAAGTCCACATGCGTGATTTGTGATTTTACTTGAAAGACTGTTTCGAATAAAGCTGGGCCAAGTTCTGACAGACGTTTGCCGACATGTGTCGGACGTTCGAGTCGACCTCGTCCAGCGTGTCGTCGTGCTGCTCCAGCACCTGGTTCAGGTACCTGTAGTCCTTCCACAGGACCAGCACCATGACGATCGTCCTCTCCAGCTCCTCTCGCTGCTTCTCTGTCTCCAACAGCTGCAGCAGCATCGCGTCCACGTCCTGCTGGTCAGCGATCACGTCATATATCAAATTGTTTTCTAGTCTGCCCGAACTGGATCGTTTTGTCCAACGGCCGCCTTCGTCTGAGTAGGGTTTGATCTCGGAGAGTAACCTCTTGAGCTTGCGGATGTTGAAGATGAGCATGGTCATGTAGCTGTTGACCGTGGCCACGAGATCCTTGACGAGCTTGATGAGCTCTTCGTTCCTCTCCTGGCCACGGTTGACCAGCTTGGCGTGCTGCTCCAGGTTCCTGGTCAACTTCTGGACCAGGGTCTGGTTGCTGTGGGTCATGGCAAGCAGCCTCTGCTCCATCGTGGTCGTGCTTTCCTCGGCCTCCTCGTTCATGAAGATCCCGTCCACGGCCCGAGCCAGGCGCTGGACAGCAGACTTGAGGTTGGCGCAGTCTTCCAGCAGCTCGCCCATCTCACACAGGTTCTCTGCCTGACGACCCCCGAGCTCCGAGGAGCTGAACATCTCCGAGCCCTCGTGTTGGTGTGACGAGTGAGAGTTCCCCATTGTGATAAAGTTCATGCAGAAACCAGGCGACCTGTAGACAGTGTTGGATGAAGCGGTCTACCAACTCCAGTCTATGCTCTGGTCACAACATTCTGTCTGACTTGCTTGGACATCTGTCGTTTACCAAGGGACATCATTCTGCTGATTATATATTGGACGACCTTTAATATATATATATATATATATATATATATATATATATATATATATATATATATATATATATATTGTTACGACTCCCTTCTCTAATCCTTTCGAACTAGTCAGGGAATCGTAAACAAGAAGAAAAATAAAAATAAATAAACGCCAACTTCAGTGATCTATATTTATTTCCACAAATTACAACACTTAAAGTTAACCCGCCACCAAAGTACAACAATCAGAAATATACACAACTAGCTACACCAACTAAAGTTCTTAGTACGACTACCCTACTTGTCCCTAACTGTCTAACTAGCCTAGGTCTACTGCAGTACAGGCATCTCTTGGCTGTCAACTAGCTCACAGAGACGCCCCATGTCTGTCTCCTCTAGACCTAGCTATCCGAGTCCGTCTCCGTGTGTGAGTCCCTTGTGAGTCTCCTCTCTGAGTGTCCCCCAGGCCAACTAGATACGTGTCTTCTACACCTACCCCCATTGATGCCGTCGTCCGTAAATGTGACCTAATTCTTACACGTGCCTCGTTGATTGTCTCCATCTAGACCTGTTCAATCTGGGTCACGTCTGTTGTCAACCCTACCCCTGCTATATACGTCCCCAGTCTGCTTTTCCCTACATTTACATACCAGCCCAGGCGATTCAAGTGAGAAAGGGGGGGGGGGGGGGTAACCCGCTAGCATCAACAATAACATCTCACCCTTTGTCTCTTTCACGACCTGCGCCAGTCCGTGGCATCTCTCATTACGGGCTGGCCCGACCACGAAAAAGGGGGTTCACGTCGAGAGTTCCCCCCATCCATAAATCTCTAGGTGACACCCTAATTAACCCACGTTCAGCCATGTCCAAAAAAGGTAAGATCCCCCCCCCCATGGGATCGTAACAATATATATATATATATATATATATATATATATATATATATATATATATATATATATATATATATATATATATACATATATGTGTGTGTGTGTGTATATGCAAGCTTATTGTAAAATAATAGTTCTTTTTGAAAAAGCGGAGCATGTTATCTGTTATATTTCTAACCTATTTTTCTAATCTATTGCCCCTACTACCCTCAGTGTTAATAAGACTGAGTGATTGATTGATTGAAGGTCTCCAAAGATACGAGCTTAAAACAAGTGAAGCGACTCAGGCAGATCAAATGTAGATGAAAATATTTCCGATGAATGTCAACATTTCTAAACGAATATGCTGACAGAACAGTTTTCAAAGAATCCTATAAGTTGTTTGCTATGAATTTAGATTATAATTTAGGCCTATATAGATCTACTGTCAACTTTACATAATTTGGTGTCACTGTCAAAATTAAATAATTTGGTGTCAATGTCGACATTAAATAATTTGGTGCCACTGTCAACATTAAATAATTGGTGTCAATGTCAACATTAAATAATTTGGTGTCACTGTCAATACAGTCATTAAGAACGAATTAATAAGGGAGAAAATAAAACAAATATTTTTTTTAAATTATAATTTTTCAAATGCTTGAAAAAATATACTAAAAATAAACGTGCTTCCTTTAATAAAAGCGGTAATAGTCAAAATATGAACCACAAATGTTTTATAGGAGAAGAAGCAATTTTAAAAAAAAATCAGGTTTTTTTTTTTAATTTATTGTAATATATGTATTTTTAAATATTTATTTTATACTGACAGGGTATACTGCTTTGTGTCAAGCTAAGGGCGATGTTTAGCGAGGTCCCAGTACAAAGTTGAGAACATTAGTTTTGACAGGGTACATTAAAAACCAATCGATACTGAGAGTTTATTCAATGATTCATTGGGAGTTATCTTTCCTTGGTTGATAGTTATCTTCCCTTGGCTACCAATCAAATGAAAGTGTTGTGAAATAAAGGATAGACAGCTGGGTACAGGCTACTGAGGCTACAGACACCGGCTCATCGATAGATCGATCACCAGCGGTTGGATCACTATGACATGAGAACATTTGGTCGCTACACGTATGTTTAAAACACGCACACACACACACACACACACACACACTTATACACACTAACACAGGCACGCACACACTCAAAAACACAGACAACCACACAACAGATATATCACATAATGACCAAGCACACATGCAGACTTACACATATAAGTAGGCCTACACACAGTGTTCCTTTTGAGCAGAGAATGAAAATTATAAAAGGTTGTTTTAATAACAAATACAAACAATGTCGTTTTGTTGACTTTATGAGTTGTCGCACCTCAGGTATAAGTTTTAAGCTCAAATAGAAACTAATGGGGGGGGGGGTGACAATGGTCGCTAGGCGGGGGCGTAGGGTGCGGTCAGCGCCAGGTGACACTATTTAAGGGGTGAACTAGATCACAGAATGTACTATCAAGACAATATTTTATTCACTTAAAATAAGATTAAAACGGGGGTGACACCAATCACAAAAAGTAAATTTACTGTATGTGGGACCGCACCGACTGACACCATTACCTACCGCAACGGGTGACACCCGATCTAATGACGCCCGATCTAGTGACTCCCGACCTAGTGACGCCCGATCTAGTGACGCCCGACCTAGTGACGCCCGATCTAGTGACGCCCGACCTAGTGACGCCCGATCTAGTGACGCCCGATCTAGTGACGCCCGACCTAGTGACGCCCGATCTAGTGACGCCCGACCTAGTGACGCCCGATCTAGTGACGCTCGACCTAGTGACGCCCGATCTAGTGACGCTCGACCTAGTGACGCCCGATCTAGTGACGCCCGACCTAGTGACACCCGATCTAGTGACGCCCGATCTAGTGACGCCCGACCTAGTGACGCCCGATCTAGTGACGCCCGACCTAGTGACGCCCGATCTAGTGACGCCCGACCTAGTGACGCCCGATCTAGTGACGCCCGACCTAGTGACGCCCGACCTAGTGACTCCCCTGCATCTCTACCTGATAAATTCAAATATGGTCACTGTCTTTAGATCTTCACACCTCACCAACCTACCATTCTTGTGATGGTGTTCAATAAGTCGGGTCTTTAAATTTAAAAGCTATCGACCATGTTCTCTATGTAATCCCCCAGTAAATGAAAGCAGTTGATGAATGAAAAGTAAGGGTAAATGAAAGAAATTGATGAATGAAAAGAAAGGTTAAATGAAAGCAGTTGATGAATGAAAAGTAAGGGTAAATGAAAGCAGTTGATGAATTAAAAGTAAGGGTAAATGAAAGCAGTTGATGAATTAAAAGTAAGGGTAAATGAAAGAAGTTGATGAATGAAAAGTAAGGGTAAATGAAAGAAGTTGATGAATAAAAAGAAAAGGTAAATGAAAGCAGTTAATGAATGATAGAAATGGTAAATGAAAGCAGTTGACGAATGAAAAGAAATGGTAAATGAAAGCAGTTGATGAATGAAAAGAAATGGTAAATGAAAGCAGTTGATGAATGAAAACAAAGGGTAAATGAAAGCAGTTGATGAATGAAAAGAAATGGTAAATGAAAGCAGTTGATGAATGAAAACAAAGGGTAAATGAAAGCAGTTGATGAATGAAAAGAAATGGTAAATGAAAGCAGTTGATGAATGAAAACAAAGGGTAAATGAAAGCAGTTGATGAATGAAAAGAAATGGTAAATGAAAGCAGTTGATGAATGAAAACAAAGGGTAAATGAAAGCAGTTGATGAATGAAAAGAAATGGTAAATGAAAGCAGTTGATGAATGAAAACAAAGGGTAAATGAAAGCAGTCGATGAATGAAAAGAAATGGTAAATGAAAGCAGTTGATGAATGAAAACAAAGGGTAAATGAAAGCAGTTGATGAATGAAAAGAAATGGTAAATGAAAGCAGTTGATGAATGAAAAGAAAGGTTGAGACGACTGTGCGAGAGATGAAACGACTTACCCGCACCATTACACACCACAGCCACACATACTGCTGACATAATCCACATCCGCAGCGATTAGTTAACCAATTCACGCTAACAAGCATGCGAAAATTGCGCACAATATTTCCTATTTATACCGAGATAGTGAGATAAGTTATCTCATCATGTGGTGATTTAACCAACGACTTCAATGACTGAATGACACAGGGTATACAACAACATACAACAACACACAATGTTTACTTACCTGCTCGGGTTCACAAGGTAGTTGTCGTGTCTGGGTGCTTGTGTTGGCGTGTGTCGCCCGTGTGTCGCCCGTGTTATAGATGCACTATGCTCACCATGAGCCATTAAAATTCGTCACTCACGCTGAACACCTTCATCTATAGATAAAAGACAACACGCGCACAATGTGGGACACTTTACAAGGCTTCTGGTTGGTGAGTGACCTCACATAACCTGCACGGACACACGTTTGTCTAAATGGGATGTTTCTTACTTCTACACATGTTGCAAGGTCTCAGTCTTCACGTGACAAACTCTAGGTCTTCACGTGACAAGGTCTAGGTCTTCACGTGACAAGGTCTAGGTCTTTACGTGACAAACTCTAGGTCTTCACGTGACAAACTGTAGGTCTTCACGTGACAAGGTCTAGGTCTTCACGTGACAAACTCAAGGTCTTCACGTGACAAACTCTAGGTCTTCACGTGACAAATAATAGGTCTTTACGTGATAAACTCAACGTCTTCACGTGACAAACTCTAGGTCTTCACGTGACAAACTCTAGGTCTTCACGTGACAAACTCTAGGTCTTCACGTGACAAACTATAGGTCTTCACGTGACAAACTATAGGTCTTAACGTGATAAACTCAACGTCTTCACGTGACAAACTCTAGGTCTTCACGTGACAAACTCTTGGTCTTCACGTGACAAGGTCTAGGTCTTCACGTGACAACAAAGTCTTGGACTTGACGTGAAAACGTTTATTCTTCATATGACAAAAATCTAGATATTCACGTGGCAACAGCCAAAGTATAGTTCTTGAACTCGAAAGAATATGACTAATATAATAGACCAACCAATTGTTGACATTTATGGTAGGGCCTAGTTCATACAGGTGGGCCCAGGTGAGGCGTGTGGTCGATAAGCACTCTGATACAGGTCACAATATAAGACAGATTACCTCATTAATGAACCATATAAGCCAGATTACCTCATTAATGAACCATATTGATATAAGCCAGATTACCTCATTAATGAATCATGTAAGTGATACAAGACAGATTACCTCATTAATGAACCACATAAGCCAAATTACCTCATTAATGAACCATATAAGCCAGATTACCTCATTAATGAATCATATAAGCCAGATTACCTCATTAATGAATCATGTAAGTGATACAATACAGATTAACTCATTAATGAACCATATAAGCCAGATTATCTCATTATGGAAACGATTAATATCATCGGCTCTACATATACCACACTCACTGCCCCCCCCCCCCCCCTCAACCACCCACCCCCCGACTGTATTGCCTCTCCCCCCCCCCAATCGTGTCCAACTAAACGAATTAAGATAGTAAATTTATACTTAAATGTTCAAGAGATAATTTATGGCTTACTAAATAAGTATTTTAAAGTATTTTGTATTCCAATCAACATAATTATGGAAAAAATATTGTGCCCCCACCCCCGCCTCCTTTTCCCCCCTCAATGCTCGAGGCAGACCGCTTCATTGAAGTTGATGGTCAATCCACCAATATCTCTGGTCGTATTGATAGTTAATCCACCAATATCTGTGGTCGTATTGCTATTGATTCTGAAGTTGATAGTTAATCCACCAATATCTCTGGTCTATGTGCTGTTCTCCCCCCCCCCCCCCCCCCCCCCCCCCCCCCCACTTTCCGTCAATCCAAAACAAGTGCTTTAAAGATTGAAATCCTGTGTCGTGTCGGCTCCTGCTACTGCCTTTGTATTTAGGTGGAACTAGAACGGTACAACTTTATGCACCAACTCTAGTTTTGTGAACCTACACATTAACACAGTGCAGAACCACGCATGCGCGGTTCAGCGCTTTACAAAGAAAACAATTGTTTGCTGACATTTCTAAGCTTGAAAAAAACAAAAAACAAATAGAATACGGTAAGTACAATAAAAGGCTTGAGAATTAAAAATAAACTTCAAATAAAAGAGTTATAACTATGTTATTGTAATGGGGTAACAAAAACAAAATGTCTGGAGGGTTTGTTTACATTTAGTGTAACGCGCATATCTCCATAGGCTGGTGACGTCACAAATAAGGGGAGAACACTTCGATTTACACATTCGGCAAAGTCAAGTCGCTTTTGTGAGCTTAACAAAATGTTAGCGCGCACGTGGGGGGGGGGGGGGGGGTGCGATAGTTTAAATTAGGCCACTAAAATCTGGCCGCACGAGAGCGCTTGTAAATAAATGAGGTTTGTTGTGAAAAAATAAAGCATACAGTTTTAGGAATCTGTATACCTAGTCGGACTTAACAAGACCGTTTGTGTTTTATTTTGGCTTATAATATTATATACCCCTGATGACATTTTTTTTAATAAAACGTCAATATACGATTCATAGAGTGCATTTTTCCCCCCATTTTTCCCATGGGATTTTTAAAACTAGTCCGCACATAAACCTTAATTTTTGTTAAAAACTAAATCGAAAACAGTAAAAATTACATTTCGATATGGACAAATGTTTGTGGGAGGGGGGGGGGGGGGTGGTGGAGGAACTGACATCTCAGTTGACTTTAAAAAAAATATCTGTAACAGATAGTTCTCACAATCACACATTAGTTACACTTTGATTAGTTGTAGATCCAGTTCAACTTTCGAAGGACTGTAACCATGTCTAATACAAGGACAGTAACCCTAATACAAGGACAGTAACCCTGTCTAATACAAGGACAGTAACCCTGTCTAATACAAGGACAGTAACCCTGTTTAATACAAGGACAGTAACCCTGTCTAATACAAGGACAGTAACCCTGTCTAATACAAGGACATTGGTCAATACACACAAAACACACAGCAAGAACTACACACCGATTAGAAGCCTTACACGCTAAGCTCTGCTAACAATAGGACACATTTAACGTGTGTCCAATGTGTCGCATTATCGTTTCATCAGAGTGTGTCATCTTTCAACAAATCAACCAGGAAATAAGAAACTCACCACACACAAAAAACGCCGAGCTAACTCTCTTGACACTTGGTTTCACCATGGGTTGAAACAACATACAAGCTCAAACAGCCCGCCGTCATTAAAGATGTCATCTTTAAACCCATCCACCCTAGTTAGTACACGAACCACCCTCGCATATATCCCGTCACACCCATGGGATTATATGCCTTTAAAAAAATCTTTTGCCATAAAAACTTTTCTTTTTCTCTACCGTTTGCGTGTGTGTTTTTAACTTTTCCTTTAGATTTTTTAAACGGTTTCTATTGGTTTTTTAGCCCTTACCTTTAAAAAAATTATGCTAATTAACTTAGTCGTGCAACTTTTTGCCATGCAGCCACCGTGAAGATCCACCATCTAGACCCTCTTCTCTATACCAAAAAAATATATTTCAAGTGCCCCCCCCCCCCCTAGGGAGTTATAAATTTTAACCCCCCCCCCCCTCCCCTCTCCAACTTCCTACGAGAAAAACGCCTGAAAGATACCCTTATTGTCTCAAGTTACATCAGTTACATCAGTTGGTACTTTTAATTTAGTGTCTTGATTGGTGCTTGTCTTTCACTATTTTGATAGCTGCTTTTGTTGTGATGTTTTTAATTTTCATCTTGAACTAAAAAGTAGACAAACGTTGTTGTTGTTTTTTTTTTCTTGTTGTAGCGTTCTGTACAAACAATGTATGATTTTTTTTTTCAAAACTTCGAAACACTCTTCAAGAAAAATTGTTTTTTTTTTTTTTTATATTTGTTTAACTTAGGCCTGGCTATCGCGACGTAGAGAAACACGCAACAGGGCTAAATATAATGCCATTTTGTCTTCTTTTTTCCCCTCTCAACTTGATTTTTTTTAAAGTATTTTTAACGAGAGAGATTACAAGTGTTTTTATAATAGTGACCTTTAAATACCGTTCCTTGTCCAATTTTTAAATAAATTCGACGTCTCGCTACAGTTACTCCCAGTAACACAGCGCCACGTAACACGCGAAGGTGTGTAGGCCCGCTACACCACGTCACTGCGCTCTCGCCTCTTTTCACAGCTGCGCGCTGCGAAGATTTAGACCCATAATGCATCAAAGAGCGCTGGTACGCATGCGCAAAGCGTATCTGGGCGTCCTGGTCCTAGCTTGCGACGGGGAAGTGTCGGGAGAGATATCAATATTTTTTTCTAAGCGAATGTGTAAGCGTGTGACCTACTTAGAGTTAACAGTCATTTGACTGTGATCGACTTGTAAAAATAAGCCTGCGATTCTCATCATGAATTCTAACGCTAAACACACGGAGTGGATTCTGGAGACGATCGACCACCTCAGGCGCAGAAAGGCCCGGCCCGACTTGGAGCGCATCTGCCATGTGGTGAGGCGCAGGTTCGGGCTGAGCGCCGCTGAAACGGAAGCGAAACTGGAAAAACTTGTGGACTCGGAGACGGTGATCAAAGTGGACTACAAGGGCAGCACCAGCTACAGGAATGCTGCCAAGTGGAGGAAGAGCGTGCTGGGGTGCGCCGTGCTCAACTCCACCACCGTCTCCATCAAGATAATCGAAGCCATCCTGGACATATCTAACTCACAGATCCACGCGCTGGAGCAGGGCCAACAGGAGCAGGGACAGCAGGAGCAGGGACAACAGGAGCAGGTCGAGCCTGAGCAGGCGCTCAACATCAAGACCAAAATATCCCAGTACGCCACCGAGGTGGGGGTGACCTTGGAGAGCCTGAACAAGTGGTTGAGGGATAGCTGCGAGGGTTTCGACCACCTCAAGAGTCCGCTCACCGTCATCCTCAAGCGGGGAGATTGACGCGGGGCGCATCAAGCGGCTCATGAGCTGCAACTACGTCATCACGCCTGCGCAGATGGAGCAGGTGGACGACAACGGCATCCGGCCGCTCAAGACGGTCCGGAAGCCGGAGAGCAAGTCGGACGCCTCACCGGATGGGCCGGGGTTCGGCGCCGGCCTGAGCGACGAGTCCAGCAGTGACATCAAGGTGTCACGTGACCCAGTGACGTCAGAGGGCTCGCACCACGCGCTCCCCCAGCCGGCCAGGCGGGGACGGCCCCCGAAGAACAAATCCCAGACGACACCTGGGACGTCCAGCGGCGGCACGTCAACACACCTGAAGGTGAGCATTACCTCCCCTGCTTTCCTTATCCTGTTACACTCTCCAATCTTTTCATAAGACACCCTACTCTCTCTCTCTCTCTCTCTCTCCGCCCCTCTCTCTCTCCCCCCTCTCCCTCTCTCCTCAATTAAAAACACCTGATTTTATATATTTTCAACGTCGTCTTGTCATGACACATATAGAATAAAATAAATAAGCTGACGTCACGGTACACA